ATTGGTGTGAATCATTAGATGGGAGGAATTCACCAAGTAACTGTTGAAACTGGCCGAGAGATCAACATTCTCATATAGGAGCGGGAAGTTTGTTCCACAGCGTACTATGCTGCATTATGGAAAACCTACATCGGCGTTTTGGTCGCTAGTTATTCGTTGGAATAGCGTGTTCACCATTATGCACACTGTACGCCGGTGTTGATTTGAAAGTGATAGCACAGTTCGTTTTAGAGTTTCCAAATAAAAAACGAAAAAGAAAGATTAGATTGAGCTTCAGACGTCTCAACCAGAGTGGTTCTAGTTCTAGTTTTTTGCACCTTGCTTCGTAAAAAGTTATGTATTGGTAGGTGCTGAGTAAAGTTTCATTGGATGTTCTCTACTCGAATTCTACCAGATACTTTCATGTCACCGTGGCTAACTGTCCATAACTTTGTGTGGTATAAGTTTTGCCCCAGGTGTGAGTATGCTTATGTGTAGAAGACCTGTGAGTTATCTGCCTTCGGAAACTACCGTATCTGCGTACTCCGTAAACAGTCAAACTGCTGGTGTACGTGATTCTGAGGTGTTTCATAATGTCGAATATCTGCAGTATGGTGCCACCTGAGCGTGGTGTTGCATCTGGGTGGAATTTATTAAAATGGAGGATGTCACTTTTATTTGGATTTGAAGGGAGCCGCCAGGTCACGCTGCTTGTGAATATTCTCTTCAGATCTCCCTGCATTTGAGAGAAACCTTGTGTTTGGGCTGCGCGAGAAAAGCTGTAGACTATCTTCGAGTCGTCTGCGAAAGGGTAAAGTGAACCATTTCGGATAACGCTTCAGATATCGTATACATAAATTAAGAAGAGGAACGGCTCTAGCGCATTGCTCCGGACGACACCACTCTGTATAGATCCAGGGGAGGAGTAGCGATTACCAAGTTTTACTACCTGGAAACTAAGGATCATCAGTGACCACTCTTTGAGTCCCTCCTGGTCACGAGATTGGCCCATTCGATTGGTGAACACTGCATACATGTAATGACATTTTCTGGAGTATAATTAGGCAGGCAACTGCCGTCAAGACGTTCCTATGTGACTGCCATGATACAAAGCCACATACAGGGAAAAAAGGCAGCGTGTTACCTTTGGTGTGCATCTCGCAAAGAGTAAGACTTTCTCTGCTACGTGAGGATAAGCAATCTGTGCAGCATACGGGTTAGCAACGGAGAGCAAACGGTTAGGTTGCAACTCAAAAAGCTTGAACCGGTTTACATCATAACAAAAACCTTTGTTCGGGGCATAGGCCTCATCAGAAAACCAGACGGACCTTGGTAGCAGGGCCATAGTGAAGTGTTGGCCGAAAACAGCAGTTCGTAACGCACTCGTGTCCTGTGACGCAACACAGCTCCCGGACGGTGATGAAAACTAGAGTAATGCAAAGATTTCTTCGAGCCAGATCACAGAAAATCCCTTATTGTGACGAAATAAGAAATTGTGCGAAAGTGCTTAGCTTTGTTGTGTGCAGTCCCTTTACTCACTTGCTGGAAGTGGGCCAACTCTTCGAATAATGAAAGTACATCATCCTTTCGAAACCTTTAAGAGTAAAGATCACAATAGCCTGAGCAACAATAGGCCAATGGTGTCGCTACTCTTATTTTCCAAGGTGATGGAAAGTCTGCTGATTGGAGTTGTTAAGGGCTAACTGAAAATGAACAAACTCACCAACTCACCCATCGGTTTAGAACCAGTGCTGATGTGCCAAAGACTTCCCGACTTTTGTGTGACTGCAGTTCTAGATAGATCAACAAGTAGACAGTTCACGCCATCTTTACTGACATGACCACGGATATGGGCATTGTCTCACACAAAGCCATAACGGGCACACTTACAAATCAGAGGACATTAGCGAACAACTGATATCTTTGACTCCGTCTGGTGCCACTTCACAGCCAGGCACACTTGATACCTGGTACGGGGAGTCGATAAAGCCCTCACTGGAAACATGGAACAGTATTGACAACTCCACCAGGTAACACCCTCAGCGACGGCCACGGGGGATGACTAGGTCATTGTAGTGAGACATTTTAGCACCTAACCTCTCATCCCTGGGCAGGACAGGATAACTTCGAGCCAAACTTCGGACGGGACCTACTCGACGCCATAAAAGGGCTGAGATGCACGAAAATATGGGCGGTAACACTTTCTGGGGTCTCGCGAAATGCTTCCAGATTGGACCATCTCAGTAACAATTACCTACTGGCAGAAAACGCTGAGATTCCGACCCCTTAAGGGGGCGGCGATCACGGTATGACTGTTTGACCTGGTATTCCGTGAACGACCACCCTATGGGAGATCTAGCCTTTGTCCCGCCATCAGAAAGGCAAAGTAAGTGGCGATGAAAAGATATCCGTCAATAGCATTACAACCTCATGAGTGAATCACACAACAATAGGAACTAGACAGAAGTATCGTTAAGAGCGGCAACTCTGAAAGCATCACAGTACCTACAACATTACAAAAGAAACGAGCCTCATGGTTGAAATCAGGCAGTGAACACCTTTTAAAAGCCAAAAGGAAAGCGTAGCGTGAAGGAAGGACTTCCGGAAAAGAGTCAGATCATGGAGTATTTGTAGCTTTGAGGAATCGATACAATATCAAACTAAACGGGAGTGTGGGGTCGTTTTGGACAAACCTTGCCCAGGGGCTTGAGGCTAGCCCCAAAAACCCATATCGATTCATTGCAGAGGGCGAAGTTACCAGCCAGGGAGCTTGAGTTATGAAAGGCCCGAACAAACAGAACCCCACTCGACCGGAGATCGCCGAAGCCTTTGGCGCCGCTTTCGACACACGACTCAACGTGCTACGAGCCAGCTGAAATTCTTATCTACCCGAGCAACCTTCAGCATTACTTAATGCAGAAGAGTCACACGGAATAAGGATAACCCCCGCTGCGGTCCTCGAAGAACTGCCAAAGCCCATTGCAGGGAAGTCACCGGAAAGCAACGACACTCAGCCGTCTGTGTCGCAACAATGTGCGGGTGCTTTATACAATCTGCCCATAGTCTGTTTCAATACTCCTCGGACAAACACATGTCTCCAGGGAAGTACAGACGTACCATTCAGTCTTTCATCTTAAAAGGAGACAGGCAGCACCTAAAATGCTGTTAACCCACAGCGCTCCTACCAGTCCTATCGAAAGTAATGGAGATCTTGGTGAACGACCATGTCAGAGAGTACTTGGACAAGAGGGGGGAAACCGAGTAACGTTCAATACGGCTTCCGAATGGGCAGATCTTGCACCTCAAGCCCACTGGCGGCCGGTGATGACTGGATGGCGTGCTGTGACCTCCAAATTCTTCTTCATGTCATTTTTTTCTGGATTTTACCAAGACCTTTGACATTGTCTCACACGCCATTCTCATACTCAGACTTTTAGGGTTTGGTATCAGCTATCAGTTGCCCTCTTAACTGCATGACTATTCGAACGGTAGAGAATCCTGCACTAAGTCAATAGGGTTTTGCTTGACTTGAGGGACGTCATCATCTGAAGTATCATAAGCAGCGATTCCTTGTCCGCTGCTGTTCCTCCACTTTCTAAATGGCCCGCCACTGAGTTTCAGCTCCGTGAACCTACTTTACTCTGGTGATGTTACGCTATGAAGAGCTGCGACGTGCGCAGCGGAATCAAGTGCACTACAAAGTTATCCTCGACTGCTTGGAAAGCGGACTGGCATTCAGTCTCCGCGCTCCTGATCCACAAAAAGTGTTCTCTGTGGAATTCAACTTTCCCATACCACCACGCAGATGAATCTGAGGCTAGTACTGACTGAAATACCGGGCATTTGCCTTGATTATCTTGGGGATGTCTCCAGAACCTACTCATTTCATGCTCAGACAACCAGGTGCCCTCGCTCCAGAACTCTCCCTGAAGCTGTACAAGACCTACATATGACCTCACTTAGAGGCCCAAAGCATCACGGCACAACCATACCTGAAAAGGGATGTGAACCTTTTAGAGAAAGTCTAGAGGCGATCACCAAAGGGTGTTGAAGGAACGAGATAAAGACCTTGTGAGGACAGGGTGAAAGATCCAGGGCTTTACTGGCCTAGTTACTGCAGACTACGTGGAGACTTGATAATGGCCTATAAAAGGCTAGATAATTCAGGCCATTCAAACAGTGGGATCCCACCGAACGGTCAGCGTACCAATCCTGTTCCGTAACATAGGGATTACCGCCCACCAAGGGGAGAAAACCCGCATGCGTTCACACCTCTTCTCTCTGCGAGTCACGACTGCCACCCACAGATTTATTCGACACCCAACGCCCGTCAGGCTAATCACAGCTACAACAGGCAAGCGCATAGGCCGTCTGCAATGGAACCCATCAAAGCCCTGGAACCGTTCCACAAGACCTAGGGGCGAACATGAAGGAATTGACTGGTGTACACTGGTTCGTAAAAAGACATTAGATATTAAAAAAGCGAGAGATAGGTCTTCAGTGACTTTCCCCATATAGACCTGACAGTTGCAGAGGCCAACCACCAGGAAAGTACATAGTAGAGAAGTCAGGCGGAACAGTATATTTGATAGACCGTGCCAAAATACATGTTTTTTCCGAATAGTTGGTTAGGAGATCGCACAACGCAACGTCACAAAATGAAACATAATATGGCGTGGATCCAATCCAATATCCAATATTGATAGTGCGAGCGTAGAAAACTAGTAGTTTTTGATCTCTCGCGTCTAGTGGATAACTGACAATTTTCTGCAGCTAAGCGGTTCTGTTTAGATCATGAAAGTCAGTGTCAATGCTGAATCTTGTCATACCCTAAGCTATTGATTTTGTCATTACGGCTTCAGCCAGACAATTACTTCCTTGGGTCTCTACACAGGTGATTTGAAAATAATTCTGTGGCGCTGGTAGCAGCAAAGGGAAAGAAACAAGCTGAATGTCAAGATCTTGACACCAGACTTTAAAAGGCATGAGTTTCCTCTACGTACAATCACTCGTCGCTGGATATTGAGTGAGGCGCGCGCTGCGAATTGTCTTCTCGTGGTCGGTACAGTGGTCATTGTCTTAACGTTTGTGGCACCTTTTCTTTGTTGTGTGCTTATCTAAGTGTTGGTATTTTATGTTCGCATCAATAATTGCGAGTAGAATGCTCTTTTGTTTTTCTGGAAACCTTACACACAAGAAGAAACAACGGTAGATACTTTAGGATGTAGTAACCAACACTATCCATCATCAGTAGTGCGAGTAGGGGAAACTTGTCGTTTCTGAGTTCTCTCTTCTAGGTCTTGAGGCTCAGTTCTTCATGTTTGGTTGTACTCCGATGGTCTCAGAAGTCTCTAGGTTTCCCTGCTTATAACTTTGGAGGCAGTAATTGTCTATTTGAAGGTATTTTATTCGCAAATCGTAGCACGGTTTTTTTTTGAAGGGAGGAGGAGGGGGGTAAAAAAGCTGCTGACAAGATCAATCAACCGTTTGCAATTCCTGTTGTTGTAAGCGCCTGCAAGTAAGTGTTAAGCGTTACTTAAAAAGTGCTGAAAATAGGGTGAGGGGAACGAGAAAAAGAGGAGTGAAAAGTACTTATGAAAAGGTAAGTGTTACTGGTAATAATATGGAAGAGGGATGCGTCTGACTGCAGATGCTAGGGTTAGAGGATACAGGGATGGAAGGGCGTATCATCAGTTGCTACTAACACATGTTCGTGATAAGCCATTTGCGCTCATACTCATGAGTACTGGATGCATGCAGTAGTCGTTTGGAGGAATTGACTGATGTAGCTGTGGCCACTTCCTTCGGCAGAGCGTTCCACAAGGCACATACTCTGTGGGAGAAGTTAGATCTCACTCTTGTCTTTGTCCTACGGTCATAGATAGAGAACAAAATTTCTCTATCTTTATTTACGTACGTGTATCCAGTCATTAGGTAACAGTTGGCAGAAAGTGGGCTGGTGCAACATGTAGAGGAATTGTATGGTAGGGCTTACAACATATTCGATGGTAATGCACGTGCGCATGTGCCCGTCATGTCGGTCCAGCTTGGAATCATTGGTCTAATTGCATCAACTAACATTCGTCTGTAATCTGCAAGATAGGTTTGAGAAGTATCGAATAGCAGTTGTCTGGGTGCGACGCACATTTATTTTAACGTGCGTATTTTAGAAAGACATGGTTTGTTGTGACCAAGATTTACCTGATTGTGACCGATTGTTATGATCTGACTACCACTTTTGTATATAGCACAAGTAACTAGACGGTATGTAGTGGTGTATCTGGGCTCTAAACCCTGCTCCATGTACTCTGAACCAGCTGTCTAAGTACTCCGCCCCACTTTGAAGTAAGCTGATTAAGTCCTACTTTCATTATACGAATCGTTTTGATTCGAGGGAAAAGTTTTTTTTGAGCTGACAGATGGGAAACTTATTCGAAGCACTTCTCTAGAATCCTGTATACGGGTCTCTGAGAAGCAGCACACACCAATAACGATGCTTTCTAGAGTACTAGCCAAACCTGCCTATTATCCGAACTGCATCAAGATGTGAACGTCGAAAGTGGCTAACTGAAACGCTACGCGTGGTTCCAGGATAGCTGTGTTAGGTATTGCAATAGAGGATAGCTTTATGGGAGCAACTGTTTAGCCACTCAAAACAGCACAAGCAAACCGTAAGTCTAAACAAATGGAGAGCAGCTGAGTGAAGTGAATATGAAGACAAAGGGGAAAATGATAAAATACAATTCACACGTAAAAATAAAAAAATATAACGGGAGTAAATTGAACAATTTGTGTCAGTGTTTGTAGTGCGGAGAGCCGGAGTACTCATAGGAAAGTTGATTAATTGCTTCGAAATCTTTATTGTATAGTGTAATTTTATATTTTTTGTGAGCACTGAGACACTGCCGAGACCGAAGCAGGTGGTTGGCATAGAGGATCACTTTCCAACCCTTGTGGATTAGACTTTAGGTCAAAGGCTCGAGAATTGACCCTAAGACAACCACCTGCTTCAGTCTAGGCACCCGGACTCTATCCAAGCCCTCACATAAAATGTGAATTTACATAATAAAATTGGGATTTCAAAGCAATTAACCACCTTTCTGCGAACACTCAAGCTCTCCGCATTAAAAATGTTATGACCGAGTCCTCAATTTATTGCTATAATATTGTTTTTATTGGTTTCACACATGAATTCTATCTTTTTATGATCATTTTCTCCTTTGTCTTTATATTCACTTCACTCAGCTGCTCTCCATTTGTTTAGACTTACGGTTTGCTTGTGCTGTTTTGAGTGGCTAAACAGTTGCTCCCATAAAGCTATCCTCTATTGCGATACCTAACACAGCTATCCTGGAACCACGCGTAGCGTTTCAGTTAGCCACTTTCGACGTTCACATCTTGATGCAGTTCGGATAATAGGCAGGTTTGGCTAGTACTCTAGAAAGCATCGTTATTGGTGTGTGCTGCTTCTCAGAGACCCGTATACAGGATTCTAGAGAAGTGCTTCGAATAAGTTCCCATCGGTTAGCTCGAAAAGCATGTTTCGTGTGCTTTTTATCTGGGGACTCTGTGGCATAGGCAACCTGCTAACTGGTATCGGTGTCGCACTAAGCAATGAAGCTGCGCTACTCGACTAAATCTCAGGAAACAATCGTCTAGGCTGTTGAGCTAGAAGGTTCATTTCGAGTTACAAGTAACTAGCAAGAGTAACGATATGTCCTTGTCTTTGCCTGTGCTCCGACGGATTGCATCCTGGATGCAACCTAGTATGAATTCTATTCAGGGTCGCGTGTACTGCACAGCAATTCGCTCTGTTCTACTGTATGGCTGTGAAATGGCCGTTGAAGGTGGAAGACGTATGGCTTCAGTTGTTTGACCACCATTGCCTTCGTAGTGTAGACTAAACGTATTCCATGGTGTCACTACATGAATAGCGCAGAAGTGAGGTGTTGAGTTTTAGGGAGAAGAGGTAAGTCAGTTGATGTTGTTTTTGATCCTTCATTGACTGAGATGGCTGGTTGGGACACGTGTTAAGTATACCTAGTCGGCGTCTGCCTCGTCACACAATGTTGGCCGAAGTAGGTTCAGGCTGGAAAAGGCTCGACGCGGCCAGAATAAAACATGGCATCAATGTATGAAGTGTTTGACTGTTAGTGTGAGTCATGTGCGTCAATGCAGTCTGGGTGGTTGGGGTCCGTGGGACAAGAGGAACCAGTGGTTGGAGACTCTAGGTGATATGGCTCAGAACCGATGTCAGTGGCGCGGATGTATACACACATTATACTCATCTTAACGACGCCATACCGAATCTCACCATTTCCTCATTCTTCTTTTCTCTCTCCTACTACTTTATATTTCTTTCGACTGAATTTTCTTATCTTCGTCTTCCACTTCACTACCTTTTTTTACTTGATGTACTGATATGAGGTGTGGCAACTCAGACCGTTACACACTAATGCCTGGTCCTATGTTGATGGATGATGATGAATTTTATCCTCAGCTGAGTGAACTTTACGACTAAGTGCACTCGACAGATATCGTAGTGCTAGGTGGGGGCTTGAATGCGCAAGCTGGGAATGTAGGCTCAGAGGAGAGTCGTTTGGGGACCGATGGAGACTAGTTGGCCTCAGGTCGGATAACAGGGATCGTTTTCTGCAGCTTTGCGCAGATTACAACCTATTTCTAGCCAGCACCGACCTCCAGCACACCCATAGTCGTTGTACTACTTGGCGTCTTTTTTTGCCACTCAAGCTTGGATTCATCATATTGCAGTCAGCTACCAATAACGCGGATGCATACAGAACTGCCGCTCTATAAAGAATACTTGTCCAGACTCTGATCTTGCTTTCGTGTGTGCTAAGCTCATCTTGCTTTTATGCAATCATCAAAACCGTCGTCCTAAACAGGTCTATGCAAGCAAACATTTCGGCTGAATACCATTCTGAGCTAGATTCAAGGGCAGCTACCGATCTTCCACGGAGTGTAGACGAACGTAGTATGCACCATGAAGATGGTGAGTTAAGACGCTTGAGGCTTTGAAAGACGAGCAGCCAATAAACACTGGGTTTCTGCGAGCTTCTTAGAACTTCTTGACACCTGTCAGACCATTCCAGCGGATAGGAAGTACAATGGTTTCCCTAAGTCTCTCACGCGAAAGATTACACAGCGCTTACGCAGGGACCGTGAGGCTTGGTGGTCAGAACATGCGAGTGAGATGAAAGCAGCAACTGCATCTGGTATTAGTTGGAAGCTGTTCCAGCATATTCGAGCCACTGGCAGCAAAAAACCTGGTGTCAGTGAGACAGTCTGTGAGGTTAATGGTACGCCGATAATCAATCTTCAAAAGCACCTAAAACGCTGGGTGGAGTAAATCAAAAAGCGGTTTAGCTGGCCCACTGCTTCAGCATCTTGTCCCTGGTTCTTTGTAAAAATAGAGGACTACTTTAGTCAGGGGACTGACTGGATTGTTTGAAAAGGTACGGCAGACTGAGTGTTCGATCATTCGGGAAATGGAGCTATCATTGTGCCCATTTTTATAAAGGGTTTGTGTAATGTATGTAATGTAACAGCATGTAACGGTCGCATTATGCTCGCCTAATTAAAAAGATGCAGTTGATCAGTAAAGGAGTTGATAAAATTATCATGTTTTGTAGTTGTTCGTCGGATTTTATTTAACTACCCACCTACTTTTCTATTTTTAGCCTAACATACCATTGTTTCTGTGATACTCGATCACTATTGGGTTTCATTGTGTGTAGCTTGCACCTTGATTCTAGATTTTTCCTTCAGCAAAATCTACGCATGTATATATGAATGGATTTCAGTATCGCAGAGATTTGCAGTGTTTTCAATTCACAAGAAGGGAAGGATAATTGCCAAAAGCAAGTGTTGAAGTTGATCCAGTTCTTGGGTTCAGAAGAAGGTTGGCCATTATGTACTTCTGTCCTGCTGAACTCTGATTCCAATCTCTCGAATGTTGATGCACTCCCAGAAGAGCAGAAATCTGCCCTGTTCTTTCTGTGCTGTAGAGCAATCGAAGAAGGTTTAAAATCCAGGTAACTATTCTCTCTTTAATTCTATTTTGATAGTTTACCAGTACAACCGGATGAGGCACCTAAATTCGCTGCATTTGCTTGTGAGTGGTTGAGATGTCTCATCAACCCTGCCGATGGGATTAGAAAACCGAAATATTTTGAAGCAAAGGCTGGTCAGCTAATTAGCTTGGCTATTGTACGATATTTCCCGAATCATTGGTCTTCGTTGTTCGATGACCTCTTGACAATACTAATAGAAGCTACAGGTTAGCGTTTTAGATTTTTTGTTAGTTTTTGGATGTATTGTGGTCCTAAATGCTTAACTATGGGTAGGAGGAACTAATTCATAGCGTATAGTGACGGTCAACCTGTACTAATGCAAATGATTGTAATGCTTAAAGGTTGCAGTCACTAATGACTAACAACTTTTTTGTTTTCAGATCTTAATAACTATCTGTGAACTAGAGATTGGTACTGTTTGTGAGACACCGAATTAGTTTATGACCAGTTTGTGGTAGTTACATATGCTACAAATTAACAAGTACCGTGTTTTGTATTCGTGCTGCACTCTTATTAGTTACTTGCCAGATAGGTGAAGTAGTTACTACGTCCAACTGATTTACTTTTTCAACCTTCGAATGGCGTAAACACAAAGCATCTTCGCAAAATGTCATTTGTGAATTTAAATTCAATCGACAGTAGGCAGAATATGTTATTATTTGCATTATATATATCCTGGGTTAGGAACGTAATTGGTTACAAAGTGAACACATTCCTTTTTGTTATGTTTTGAAAACTGTTATGTATTATGGCCGCTAACAATGCATGGATATCGAGTGTCAACTACAAACATTCAACAAATTCCTAGTTAATTCCCGACCCGACTAATTAATAGAGCAGACACGATGGACTTGTAGAAAAGTGTATTGGGTCTGGAAGACCCAGGATCAAAGGAAAATGTATCTAATATATAGATAGTTCGTTGTTTAAAATAATCCTTTTAATTTCCTGATACACCGTTTGCCTGTAACTGTAGAAGTGACCACATAAAGTGCATCTTGATTGGTCCCTCTCCAGACTAGTCTTTTCTCTCCGTTTTTCTTAAACAAAATTGGGTTTGTTACTTGGTTTCCAGCTGTAACCGAAGTGTCCGCTTTCCGCGCCGATCTGACCAACTTCGGGGTAGTAGTTCTTTGTATATCGGAGGGTTTTCGGTTTCCTGGGCATCCTTTTGCGTGATATCGCGACGTGCTGTTGGGTTTTGTTTCTTCGCCTGGTTGTGCTCGGTATCGTAGTTGGTTTTTATGTCGCGTCCAAGTTTCTGTTCTCGCTGCAACATCATATATTATTGTTATTTATTGTTCTTTGGGTTCCTAAGGGGGACATAGTGCTTCAGTAGCACGTCTCCAGTGAACTCCGTCCTCTGAAATTTTTTGAACCTGGCTCCACGACAGCCCACAGGCTCTCATTTCTTCCTCACACGATCTCCTCCATGTCACCCTCACCTCGGACGCCCAGCTCATCGTTTCCCATCTGGGTTCCACTTGACGGTCTGGCGCGTGATGTCCACAGTCGGCCTTCTCAGTGCATGCCCAATCCATCTCCACTACCTTGAGCATATTTGTTGAGTGATAGGTTCTTGCTTCGTTTGTTCATCGCCACGCCAGAGTTGTTTGTTGCTTATTCTTATTATTCTGGCCATCTGATCTGAGCTTCAGTGACAAGCCAGCGTAGGCAGTTGTTGATGAATGTCTGTAGTTTGTGGGAAATGCTTTTGGTAACACGCCGAGTTTCTGAACCATATAGAAGCACTGACTTGACTGGATTGGTGTTGAAAATCCGGATGTTGTTCACGCTTTATGCTGAGTATAGTATGTCTCTACACTGGTTTCAGGATAATGAAGGTCTGTCTTGCTGTCTTTCCGATCGTGGCTTTGACGTCCTCGTCTGTGCCTCCTGTATTTGAGACGATGATGCCTATGAAGGTGGGTGAAAGAGGCTACTTCCTTTAAGCTTCTCCTATTGATGGTGATTGGAGATTGTTGTTGGTTGGTTGGTTGGTTGGTTGGTTGTGTATCTTTATCACCTCTGTCTTCTCTACGTTCACTCGAAGGAAGTCCCGTCTTCGCTGCCCTGTCCTGCCTCTTTTGTCAACTTGTTAGTTTTTGCCTGTAGATCTTCAAGTTTGTCTGACATTAGACACAAATCATCATCGTTGGCGAAATCCAAATCTTCTAGGTTCTTTTCCGCGGTCCAGCATATCCCCCTCTTCTCTTTCCTCACAGTTTGTTGCATGAACCAGTCCATTACAATCAGAAACATCATGGGTGATAGTAGACAGCCTTGTTTTACTCCTGTCTTAACTTCAAAGGCATGACTGAGCTGAGCTTCCCATTGTGAATTACTTGGCTGGCATGTGGCGTCTTCATATAGTTGTTGAATGAGATTGATAAAGGTTTATGGTATTCTGTAGTGTTGAGGCAGTTGCTAAATTACTTCTCATTTGATGCTGTCGAAGGCCTTTTCAAAGTCGATGAAGTTGAGGTAGAGTTGAGTTGACTGCCATTCTATACTCTGTTCTATGATGATGCGTAGTGTAGCGTTGCAATTTGGTCTGCACATGATTTGTACTTCCTGAATCCAGCCAGCCTGTTCGGGTCGTAGTTTTGAGTCTAGGGCATCGTTTAGTCTCTCCAGGGTGATATGGCTTAATATTTTGCTTGGTGTGGACAGCGGTGGAGCATTATTCCTCGCCAGTTCTTGCAAAGACTTAGGTCGCCCTTCTTTGGGAGTTTGACAAGGTAACCCTTCTTCCAATCAATCGGTAGATACCTTTCCTTCCTTACAAACCTTCTGCAGTGTAGTGGAGTGGAGTGAGCATGTCTGCTGTTGTCTTTGCGTCTGTTCTGAGTGCTTCTGGAGGAATTCCATGTGGTCCTGCTGCTTTCCCACACTTCGGTAGCTTTCTGGCGTTGAGGACTTCGACTTTTGTTGGGGGATTTGTGTTCACTGGTAGTTCTGTGGTTGCTGGTGGTATTTCTGGACGAGTTGCAGATAGTGGGGGTGGTTGGTTGAAGAGCTTTCTGAAGTGGTCGGCGGTTTGTTTCTCCTCTTTGGTAACTAATTTTCTTTCACTATCCCTCACTGGTTTCATCTGTGTTGATCTCTTCCCAGATAGTAACCTGGTGATTTGATATAATGTTGTTAGGTCTCTCCTACCTGCAGTCTGTTCTGCCTCAGTGTGTCATAGAAGTGTCTTTTGTCTTTGCGCACACTCTTCTTCACTTCTTTGTCCATTGTAGTGTTTTATAGCATGTGTTCAGTTCCTCGTTTCGTTGTTCATCCCTGCAATGCACTGGTTCGTCGTCGTGTGCTTCACCATCCTCCTCTCCATTCTCTATCAGCTTCTATGTGTCCGTCGAGATACATTCCTTGTCTTCTTTCGTCTTCCTTCTGAATACGGCTATGCAAGTTTCTTTCCACATAGCTTTCAAAGAGTTCCAGTGTTCTTCCAAACAAGTTTCTTCATTCATGTTGTTCAATATCTCTCGTTTTGTCTTGATTACTGGCTGACATGAAGATGTCCTTTGCAGTTTCGTCCCTCAGTTTCAGTTTTGGGCGTTGAACTCCAACTGTGGTTTATCACCAACTTCCTTGAAGGCTTTCAACTTGATTTTGAATGCAGGTTCCTTGCACTAGATAGTGAGTGGTGTGAACCTACATCTGCTCCCCTTCTTGATCCGATCTTTTGTCCAGTAGACTGCGTCTCCACTTTCTTCACATTGAGATGAAGTCGATCTGATTTTTAGTGTAGTGTGTCCATCTGGTGAAATCAAATCCATGTCGCTCGCCTTGTGAATATCCTTGTGTTTGTACACACTGCCTCCGATCACCGAATCATTGAATGGACAGAAATCTGCAAACGGTTCTCCGTTCTCATTCATTTCACCGAGTGCTTCTCGACATATGTTTAGTTCTCTTCCTGTGTTGTCCCCTCCCAGTTTGGTATTCATGTCGCCAACTGGGATGGGGGTCTTGTCCAGTGTTGATTGCAGTTGTCTGTAGAATTCCTCCTTCTTCTCTTCATCTGCATTATTTGTAGGTGTGTAGCGTAGCGTAGCGTAGTGTAGCATTGAATGATTGTGACTTTCCTTCCTTTTGAGTTGAACTTTGCTGTTATGATCCTGGAGGAGACTGGTTCCCACTGCATCCGAACCTTCGATGTTCATGGAGACATGGTGATGGCCACTCCCTCCGTGTGCCCATAGTTGTTGTCTGGGTGACAATATCAAAGTAGAATATTGACTCTCCAGTTAAGAGTTTAGACAATCCACTTCCATTCCATATGCTTTCGCAGATTCTAAGCACTTCCATGCCATACCTCCTCATCTCTTTTGCTATCTGGGCAGTCTTATTAGGTTGAAGCATTGTGCGGAAATTCCATGTCCCCATGCTTACTTTCGTTTTCATCGAGAGGAGAGAAGACACATCGGCCAATTGGCTTCCCGAAGGCCTCCACCAACCGGCGTCATTTCGTCTCTCCGATTCCAGCGAAGAATAAGTTTGTATTTATTTTTCGTATGTGCTTTGAAGTTTGTTTAGCAGTTGGATTGGTTTTACGGGGTTAGGGTTGCCAGCCCTATGCCCAACCCTCCCTGTTGATCAGTGCTTAGGACCGGCTAGTGTAACTAGTGAACTAGTTAACCAGGTGAGGTTTCATATAGCATACGTTAGGTTTAATTCAGTTGACTTACTTCAGTGGTTATTATTGTTATTTACTTGGGTTGGTCCTGGATAATTCTCGAGACTGAGCATTTTGTAATGCTATGGAGAGCAACTCATTAGGAATTTCACCCCGTAGGAAGGGCAGAATATGTACTCCTGCCAACTATCTTAGTTGAGTCCAACATTCGTCATCTAATAGTTGCCAGTGAGGCTACAAAGGCTTAGATATCCTTAAACATTTTCACAAATGATGAACAATACTGTTATCCTATATATATATGGAGTGGTTCGCGTTGACATGTTTTTTCATATTTATTAAAGGTAAACAAGCTGGTGCAACAAATAAGTCTGATGTGGTGGCTGTTGATTTGTTCCTTGATATTCTTATTGACTTGGATAGTTATATCATTTCAAGAAATGTCCAGTTAACCACTGAGGAACTGAAACGAAGTAATGAACTGAAGGATGCTATGAGGGAGTCATGTGTCGGTTCACTGATACATACGTGTTATCAATTAATAGTAAGTTATGTTTCATTTTATTGTGAAATGTTTTGGTTTTTATTTATTCAAACGTCCACTGTATATATTCTTTTACACATCCAGGTGATATCATATAATGTTTGTTTTTTACCAACTTCCCACTTGTTGAAACCATTTGTTATCTATGTGGTCACATTAATTCTAATAATATTAACATTGGATTGCCTACGAGCCACCTAAAAGAACTAATATTAAGATGTACAGTTTAGATTCAATGATATAATTTATAATCAGACGGACGGAGTCGCAATGGGATTTCCACTAGACTCTGTTCTGGCTGATATCTTTATGGTAAAGCTCGAGAACGGGCAACTTAGAGAAATAATTTCAGAACTTTATTTGTATAGAGGGTACATTGACGACACTTTTCTTATTTGCGACGAAACATGTTCAGTAGATGAGCTTCTAAAACGTTTCAGTGATCGTCACCAGTCCATTAAATTCACTTAAGGGGCAGAACTAAGTTCAAGGTTCTACTTTCCAAACGTAACGTTACAGAGAAGGGATGATGGCTCGATTAAAAGGTCAGTCTATCGAAAACCAGCCTGGACCGACCAGTTCACTAACTTTAATAGTTAGGTACCTCTTAGTTGTAAAAGAAATTTCATTCACTCACTGTGTTCCAGAATCTATGGGATATGTCCAGAAGATACGGTGGATGCTGAAATCGAAACTCTTAGAATAATACTATCTAATAACGGATACCCTAAGAGATTTATTGATAAGAATCTGAAGAAACGAACCATTCCCCATCCCGTTACAGTTCCTAAGAAAATCTCAACCATGAATCCAGAATTCAAAGGAGACATCGCAGCCTAAGTGCTAAAAAAATCGTCTATCAAGGTGTATCAATAGTAGCTTCTATGCTGACAGACTGAATTGATATTCTCCAGCCACCGTCTGATTCGTCAATGCGTGAAGGATAGGCTTCCACTTATGTCCACATCTATGTGTATCTACAAGTTCACATGCCCCTGTGGAGCTGAATATATTGGACGTTGTAAGCGGGCCGCCCTCCGAAAACGTGTTGCTGAACATCACCCGGTTTGGCTTACCAAAGGCGAGCAAGGGAAAACGACTTCATCCATATATGAACACCTAGTAAAATTAGGTCATTCAGAACCTCGAGATTCATCCTTTAAAGTAATTTACAAAGTTAAATTGAACTACTCTAAAGGTTTACGTTCCCATCACTTGTGCATAGAGCTGAAGTATTAGCTATACATGAACAAAAACCGAAACTTTGCATTCAATAACGTTTTGTGAAACCACTTTCTCTACATTGGCCTTAACAATTCCTTGTTGGTTACTTTTCTCGATTTCATTTGACTTCACTTTGGTATACTTCTCTTTCATTAACATCATCATCATCATCACCAATCTTCACTTCATTGACAACATTTGACCCATATTTCACTATTTAATATCAATTTATTCCTTATTCATTAACCTATTTTGTATGTTTCAACTAAATTATCATCGTTTTACAATTCTTTGACAGTACGTGTCTCTTATCTCACCACTTGTTGTCACTTCGTTCCTTATTCAGTGACTCATTCCCTTTTTTCTTCCACTTGAACAAATGCCACTACCTGCACCTATTGTATATTTTGCCTATTAACTGAGTAACTTCTTAGTGCGATTGTGTCATTTTACCGAGTATAATTACGACTGTACAGCTTGATAATGAAGTCTTTGGAAAGAAGTGTTTCTTCGCTGATGCATGTCTTGTTCTTACTCATGAATAAATGGATATATTTCGTTAGTTATTCTGATTTTCCTAAATTGGAGATGACGTGTACTTGTATGAAAATAATCCCATGTATATGTAATTAGCAGCACCCTTCAGTTGTCAGAGTTGAATATTGCAAATGTTTCAGGATAAATTCTAGCTTTGTAAACCTTTTTGTATTTATATTTATTTGTTTCGGTACTTAGTCTCACTAATGGTATATGTATCATACATGATTATTGGAACACAAACATGGTACAGCGAGGGCACAAAGAAATGCGGTGCATAAAATGGCATAGCAAGATTGTGAAGACATAAACGATGGAAAGCAGATAAGTAAGAAGGAAAAACACCATGAAAGTAGCATGATTAAAAGGGCAGTCCAGTAAGATACATTTAAAACAAAACATTCATTACTTTCCAGAAGCGAAAGATAAAACGAAACTGCAGCATGACCGCTTCCGGTTTTGGTTCCGAGACATATCTGATAACGTCTTAAGCCACTGAGTTGAATGATGTTTCGGACCCCACCCTGGGTGTCGTGATGCCCCAACAAATTCTAACCCCATACAACTATCCTTGATCCCACGGCCCCACGTCATGCATTGACCACTCCGTTCCCGCCTCTTCCATCCAGTCCCAGACCCAGGGTTAGGAAACAATGAACAGTATGGAAGCCGTTGGGATGACATGCATAATGCATGTCCAAGCCGACGAAGCCAGCATTTCCAGATGACTTCACTTATTGAAAGACGATTTCTATCATACTCAAACACTGGCTGTCGTACCTCAGAGTTACTTACATGGTGTTGCCATCGAATACGGAGACAATAATGATCGAACACGCGGAGTCTTAACACATCCTCAGCTCGGAGAGGTCAGGTTTCACAGGTGTAGAGCAGAACTGCTTGGGGTGAAACCTTCCATACCCATCGTTTTACGGTCAGACTAACGTCACAACGGCGCTCGAGTTGACGCGGATTAGCATATGATACTCTGGCTTTCGATGTGCGATTGGAAATTTAACCGCTCAATTCCAGGGACACTCACACAAGTACCCAGACCAAAGAACTTTTCGCCTGCTTCCAACAGCTCACCAATGAGAGTAGGCGCAGACACAGGCTCTTGTCAATCTTGTATAAGTGCTTTGCACTTCGGTGGTTCAATGCATATAACATAGTTACGGACACTATTTTTGACATACGCAAACCATATGTTATAGTCAAGAGTGGCTTAACACAACGTCGGCTTTTCACTGTGGGCTGTGTGGCTCGTTGGTTAAGGGAGCTGACTTTTAACTGATAGTGGGCTGTTTTCGAAACCTGCTTTACCTATCGAAGTTTTGAGAGCCAAGTGGTTGTGTGATTAACCCTCACATACAATAGGTGTTTGCTTCATTGCCTAATGCACGAATGTACTGAGGGTTGCGAAGTGTATTTAGGTTCGATCTCGTTAACTTTGTATCTGAATTTTGTTTGTTTCAGATGATTACATATGATGACTTGTAACTGAATGTATAATTTCATTTGGTATATTTTATAGCACCGATTTCTTGATTCATGTCAGTCGAATGCATTTTTAATTCGAAAAATCCTTCACACTATTGGTTTATACGCTTCTTGGGTCGATTTAACTCTTGTTGCCAATGCTGAATGGATTACACTGTTAAGTCGTTTATTACAGCTGTCTGTTGATAATTCCTCAAGTGCAATTATTCGCTGTGGTCTATATTCATGTCTAGTTGGTTTTGTCAATAAAGGCATGCCTGTAGTTGACAAACTCAGACTGTTAACAGGTATTTGGGAGCAATTAGGTACTATGTTGCTGAATGATCCGAGTATATCCAGTTTTATGAATCATACAGATACTACTGACAATGGTGACAATAACTTGAATGATGATCAGTTGGAATCTTTATCTACTCTTGCTACATTGATCGATGCAATGGGAATTCAGTTACTGTCAGTGTACAGGTAGATTTTAAAATTGTATTTCATGTTTGAATTGGTTTCGCTTTTGGCTATATGTCGAAGCATTTCCCTACTGTTTGAATCATCTGAAAAATGGCAGTTATCAGAGTAGTTATCATTGAATAGCGTCAAGTTGGTAATTTATTTAGTAGGCATCTGGTGGGGAAAGATTATAAGAAAAAAGCTTCAAAGATATTTAATTTTATGTTCATCCATCCTTCATAATCGGTTATCATACAGCCATAGACAAAGCGGGGGAACCGGTATTGCTCGTGCAGCTTCCTAATGTTAAGAACAGTCGATGCAATCAAATGTTCCATGAAGTGACTTTAATTAACCTGAAACGGTAACACTTAGATCAACTGATTTGTTTTTATCTTTGAGTTACCGCCTACTATTTTTTTGCTGAAAGAGGTTTCATTTTTAATGTGGTGTATTATCTCGTCGTTGGTTGCACCGAATTATTGATCTATCTTTATTGGTATATGAGCCCCTGCACGAATGTCTCGATATTGCCTGTTGTCTCAGTTTTGGTATTAATGATGAATAGTGGCTATCACTGGAATCCAGGATGTGCGTTTCCTCTTACTTGGGAACAGCATCATTCCCTGAGAGTTAGTTAAACCCAGATGACGAGTTCTAAATAGGATGAAGCGCACATCCTGGATCCCATTGCTAACCACCATCCATCATTTCTATCTCATTTTTTTACTTTTCAAGTCATACTACTCTACCTAGGCAATCCTCTAGAGTAGAATTCTGCTACGTGGATAACCCATAAAACCTCTTATATTGAGTTTTCATCAGTAAGAAGTGGGAGCGTTTGAAACCTGCTGTCATTGGGTGAATACCACAAGCATTTGCTTTTGCTATTATTTTTTGTGTTTCACTACCTTCAGATACCTCGATAGTTGTACTGACTTGAAAGCCATTCGTATGGATGGTGATCTCACTTAGACGATCACAAGTATAACACTGGTTGTGGTGTAATTAGAAAGACATATCGAAGTTAATTGTTTTTTCTTTACGTGAAGGCATAGTTTACTAGGTTAAAATTATATGAATACGACTACTAATTGCCTAGTTGGATACGCCAAGTGGTTCCCTGCCCTCAAAACACCACGACATATAACAAAAGCCAAGGGATTTTCATTAGTAGTCACTTAGGTAATCGATAACCAATCAAAACCGAGTGATATTTTTAGCGCTTGTTATAATATTCATAGAATAAGTCAATATAAAGGAATTCCAATAGTCTGATTGTCAATACATTTATTTATCGCCCAGTGATAATAAAGTTGAATTAGTAGCTTGTCATGCATTGGATTTCTTAGAAAATAAACGTACTTCCGGTTAGTATTCATCATGGGCCGACATCAATTAAAGTACCAATGGAAACTTCGGAGCTCCGGACAGCAGTTTCGTCCAGGTATGGGACTCCTCAGTGACCGAACCAAGGGCTATAATGAATACCAATCTAACTCCCAACAAACCTCCAAATCACATTACTCTCTAGTGCTCATTAGTGACTTGCTTCAAGATGCAATTTCGGTGACTGTAATGAAAAGTCATGGCTGGTGGGGCAAACCAAGTCTGGTGGAAGGACAGGTACTCAACGACGGCATTAGTTGAAGGTCGCGCTATATCACGAACTGGCCATTGGATTCTGGCTCCAATGGCAACGTGCTGACAGCCAAGCTTGAAGGTTCTGGGTTCGGTCCCTGTGGAGACGGGGTGCGCGCTGCTGGGGAGTCTCACGCCAAGCGGAAAAGCTGTTCATTGCTACCTAGTTTCCAGTACTTCCTCAACTGATATCAGTCCGTGATAAGTATCAACCTGAAATCAGTAAAGTAAATCCTTATATACCTACAAATTGAAATAAACGTATTTTCCAACAAACTCCATTTTGCTGATAAAAGGCAAACAAACTAGAAACATAAACAAATAGGTTATGTCAGACTGAATCCTTGCAACTTATTCAAAGTGTAGTGTACCTTACTGTTGGATCATATCTTGTGATGGTCACATTAATTAATCACTGAACTCTGCCTTAATGGCTACATTATTATGTTAACCATTTGACAACGAGTTTTTTCAGTCTCTTAACTCAATTATCGGCGATCTTTGAATGTAGATATTGGAAATTTCATCAACTGTTTAATTTTTATCACAACTAGTGTAAAACTAGTCATTGTTGTTGTTGTTCACACAGCGTGTAAATGAATAGCTTAATTTTACTATTTTTTAGTGGAGGTTATTTATGCCTATTATTTCTTCTTTGGGTTCCTAGTGGAACATACGGCTTCATTAGCCCATCGCCATTTCATTCTCTTTTCTTCAGTCTTCTTAACCTGGCTCCACGACTGCTCAGAAGCTTTCCGTTCTTCCTCACACGATCTCCTCAATGTCACCTTCGGATGCCCAACTCGTCGTTTACCCTTCGGGTTCCACTCGAGGGCCTCATCTGACCTTGTGCGTGATGTCCCCAATCAGCCTTCTCAGTGTATTCTCAATCCATCCCCACTTTCTACTTTGCATATTTGTTGGGTGATAGGTTCTTGGTTGGGTCATTGTCAGGTCAGAGTCCCTTGTTGCTTATTCTTTCTGGCCTTCTGATCTGATCTTCTATATCCAGTGAGCGTAGGCGGCAGCTGTTGATGATGTATGTCTACAGTTTGTTAGAAATGTTTTCCGTAACGCGACAAGTCTCTCAACCATCACATAGAAGCACTGACTTGACTAACATTATCCTTGAAAATCCGGATCTTCTTCACGCTTTATGCTGAGTGCATTGCAGGGCATTGTAGTAGATCTCCACACTGATTTCAGATGAATGCAGGAAGGCCTGTCTTACTGTCTTTCCGATCATGGCTTTGACGTCCTCATCTGTACCACCGCCGCCTGTAGTTGAAACGATACTGCCTAGGTAGGTAGGTGAAAAAAACAACTTCCCTTAGATTTCTCCCGTTCAGGGTGACTGGTGCTTGTTGTTGTTGTTGTTGTCGGTTGAGTATCTTCATCACCTCTGTATTCTCTACGTTCACCTGAATGAGGTCCCATCTTCACTGCCCTACCTCTTCTGCCAACTTATTGGTTTTCGTCTGTAGGTCTTCGAGTTTGTGCGATAAGACATGAGGCATAAATCATCATCGTTGGTGAAATGCAAATGTCCTAGGGTCTTTTCATCGGTCAAATAGCATATACCCCTCCTCTCGCTCCTCACAGTTTGTAGAAGTTATTAGTAGAGTACAAATTCCCTACCAGATTTCGAGTTACACTTGGGTGATAACTTACAACTCCACCCAGTAATAGCTTAAATTGTAGTATACTTCGAACCTTGTGTCCTTATAACTGATGAGTGTGTTTTGACTATAAAGTTAATGCTTGTTGTTTTAAACAGCGGTCCGTGGATATCAGACTTTTGTTATCAACGAAGTGTATTCTGCAACTGTATAGGAGCTCATATTCTTGGAGGATATGCAACCTTTGCCAATTTCATCAATACTGACACTAATTTCGTTAGCAATTGATTCATTGTAGCAATAAAGCATGTGTATGACGTGTTTAGTCACCTCTGGCGTTCATTTACTGCCCCATCATTTGCGTGGTTGGTAGTTTTACGCATCGTCGACTAGTGCTTCAATGCAGTCCGTGTGTTGGAGAATCAGCTACAGCTCGAGTAGTTTCTTGGTAATGCTTGTGTTTCTAGTGCTGAGTAACTGAGATTCAAGTTATCAAAGAAGTCTGTTCTTCGAATCGCGTGTATGTCTTCCAAATGAATACGGAATTTAGAATCAAGACTTTTAATTGTGAAACCTAAATTATGTAACTCAGAGTTGATCACCGTTGGACAGATCGGTTTTCAACTTACTATTCGACAATCATTTTGGCGAGTATCTGAAACAGCCGTTGTTTGGTAGACTGGTATATATACTGGATGTCGATGATTGAAGGTGAAAATTTGGACTGCGGCCGGATTCTAACCAGCGACAACCGGGTTTTCCACCCCCAATGCTCTACCAACTGAGTTACCAGGTCCAACTGCTGACCAGATTTCTTGATTTCACTTCATTCACCATGGGTTTCACCCGACTATCATGTAAATTCGTGATGTGTTACTATCACTCGATCGTATTCACACTAGATACCTAGTCAAAACTTATCATCACAATCCAAATCAAACTGAATTCGAGAGGGGCACCATGGTATTGATTATCATTTTGATTAGTATCTGATATAGCCGTGGTTTGACAGACTAGTATTACTGATACTAGGGTGATGATTGGAGGTGAAATGAAAATTTAGACTGCGACTGGGTTCAAATTAGGGACCACCGGGTTTTCGGCTCGTTGCTCTACCAGCTGTGCTACGAGGTAGATAACTGTTTTCCCCTTATTCACTTATATCATTCTTTTACTTGGCTTCAATATTCTATTATTTGCTGGATTTTTTCTGTTCTGTTCAGGAACATTACAATTTAAACCCAGGGTACTACTGTTGTTGCAGTTTACCTTTTTACTCTACTCGTGTTTCTCGTTTACTTTCTATCCTGTGTAAAGCATGAAACTTACTTTATTGTAGTAAATGTTGTTGCTTTCTTGATTAGCGTATTTTTTCCTCCCTTTTATTCTGATAGAAGTTTGTATGATGCAAACTCACCAACCGCCAACTGTACTCAGGCGAGTAGTCAATTGCGATCGAATTGTGATACAAACTCGTGCCTACCAATAGCATTAGAAGCTTTAGAAGATAGATTGAATGTTGCTTTACGTTTGTTTGAACATAAAGAAAGACAAGTTAGCCAAGTGCTTATGCCGTTTCTTCGGTCTTATCTAAGCTTGCTGAAAAGTGTTGCAAATCCATCAGAGAATATGTTATCACCAGGTAGACGTCGACAGCGCAATCGCAATAGTTCTGCTTCTTTAGACTTACCCAGTTCTACGTGGGCCAGTACTACTACTACTACTACTGCAGCTCCTGGTCATTTGGAGATCAATGAAATGAGATCGTTTTATGTGAAGCGTCTTCTGTATGCATGTGTAGACAAAATGAAGTGTCTGCCTATCCGTGATGATCAGGAAGATGATGAGGTAAGTTCTTTTGTTTAGTGGGATTTTTTCTACTTGTCAGGAATGCCACATGCCATAGTGTAGAACCGTTGCTTCCGTGGTTTAGAAAGTTGGTTATCTACCCGTCGGTCATGAGTTCGAACCCTGTTCTACCTACTGAAGTTTAGGGAGTGAGGTAATATCACTAGCCTTCACACAATAGGTATAGGACTCATTGTCTACTGCATGAATATGCACAGTGGCTGAATGCGTTTCGTTCATTCACATACTATAATTTGTGTACCGAAAATGTAACTTTTACAGTCCTATGCCTATACTCATCCTGAAAACAGTGTGAAGCTACTGTTACAGGTTTATACAGTTCTTTATCTGCAGTATTCTCGGATCCATATGGATTATCACCACCAGTTGTTTTTCAGCTTCGTCATTTGAGGAGTTGAAAAACCACTAAACTATGAGAAATGTCAATATGGACCGTGCAATTTGTAAAGCCATTCAAGTAAGCGATCAAAATTGAGCTGCTTTGAACTATTTGGCTCAATGAAGCGAATATGTCTAGGTACACACCACTGGTGACCTTGACTTCAAATAAGCGAATTCACCATCCGGACTCCGTTCATCAGTTTTATTCGGGGCCTAAAACTCACTTTTAGTCTTTCAGATTTTCGAAAAACTGATCAGCAAATCAATCATTCATCAGTCGGTTTTTCTCATTCTCATAATAAATAACTGTTGGGTACGCAAGCCAAACACGCGTTAGCCTTATTCAATGTTTTTTTGTTTGTATAACTGCACTACTCATTTATTTCATCAGGTGAAAGTAGTGCTGTTCAGATGATATTGATCAAACACTTGTCGTCTCTTAAGTGTGTAGCTGTGTTTCATTCACCTAGGCGTTTGATTTCCAATCGACTGGTCACGGGCTCAGACCCTTCTCCACCTATCACGGTCTCAGTCACTAGGCGGCATCACTTCCCTCATACATAAATGTGGCTAATTGACTATTACAAGAACCTGCACATGATGGGAAGTTGTGAGAACGAACGAAAATACTTAGTGATTCATAGTCGAGGGTTGAGACAATTCAACCTTAGTGATTCACAAAGAGAAATCAAAAGACTGGGAATCGGCTGAGTTTATAGTATCTCGTACTGAAAACGTTATTGGTGAAAACGGACCCTATTTTGTAGAGTTTACAGTAACCTTGAAAGACAAGGAATGATTAGTACATTTAGAGAGGTAAGGGCCAATCACAACGCTGGTGGGTCATACGAAATATAACCCATGTGCGGGAAAGAGCGCGAAATTAACCAGTTCAAATATACCCAAGCTGTAAGTATGGAATATGAGGGATTTAGGCATCCTTAACGCCTCTCGTTTTTAAAGAATTCAGTAACGTATTCTGTTGGGGTTGACCTGTAGTGGTGCTATCAGTTGGCGGTGAAGGTCATTCCATTGTTGTGGGAGTAGGTCGACATCCTGAGGAGGTTTTGGTGTAAGTGGAGAGTCCATTGATGCCGATGGTACTTTGAATGTATCCAACAATAAACTTAGTGATAGATTACTCATTGGTTCTTCTTTTCCTCCTGTTTTTCGCTTCGGGTGGTTATGGTGACGCGTCCCACTTAAACATCATACGTTACCTTTCCACGTTGTTGAACAACAGACCCATCAACCCAGTTGCTCCGCCCTGCTCGTTACTTACGTACAAAAATGGTAGAACCTACCAATAGACCTCCTGCATTACTTTCTGCAGTACAAGGTGGTGTAGAAGTTCTAGGCGTCGTAGTGTGATGTGTTGTGTGCAGTCTACGTCTCGTTAGTGCTTTTGCTGTTGCCTGTTGAGAAGCGGAAGCATAGGGCACCCGTATCCTTCGGAGGAAAATTGGGCTGGAACCAGAATGAAGACAATACAGCGGGAGATTCTATGAACCGGCCATGATTAGGTTGAAAAACATCTGCAGATTTTTCAATGATGTCGTAAGATTGGGGCTGGTGTTTACACCCGGTTACAAATGGTATTGAGTAGAATGTCTGATAACCCCAGACGGTGAAACCAATTTAAACCCGTTCGAATAAGGGTTGACTTGAACAAGATGTCGACCGAGAAGTAATTTGGCAGCTGCTTCAGGACTACGGTTTTAATGCTACAAACCTTTATCAACCTCATTCAACAGCAGCTATATGCTATATGATGCTACGTGCCAAGTGATTCACAATGGAAAGCTCATTGATGCATTTGAAGTGAAGATAAGTTGACAGGTAAGACAAGGTTGCCGCCTACTACCACCGATCATCTTCCTAATTGTGGTCGACTTAACTGGATCATGCAACAGATAACTGTGAGGAGCGAGAGGAGGGGTATATGTTATTTGACCGATGAAAAGACCCTAGGACATTTGCATTTCACCAACGATGATGATTTATGCCTCATGTCTTATCGCACAAACTCGAAGACCTACAGACGAAAACCAATAAGTTGGCAGAAGAGGTAGGGCAGTGAAGATGGGACCTCATTCAGGTGAACGTAGAGAATACAGAGGTGATGAAGATACTCAACCGACAACAACAACAACAACAAGCACCAGTCACCCTGAACGGGAGAAATCTAAGGGAAGTTGTTTTTTTCACCTACCTACCTAGGCAGTATCGTTTCAACTACAGGCGGCGGTGGTACAGATGAGGACGTCAAAGCCATGATCGGAAAGACAGTAAGACAGGCCTTCCTGCATTCATCTGAAATCAGTGTGGAGATCTACTACAATGCCCTGCAATGCACTCAGCATAAAGCGTGAAGAAGATCCGGATTTTCAAGGATAATGTTAGTCAAGTCAGTGCTTCTATGTGATGGTTGAGAGACTTGTCGCGTTACGGAAAACATTTCTAACAAACTGTAGACATACATCATCAACAGCTGCCGCCTACGCTCACTGGATATAGAAGATCAGGTCAGAAGGCCAGAAAGAATAAGCAATAAGGGACTCTGACCTGACAATGACCCAACCAAGAACCTATCACCCAACAAATATACAAAGTAGAAAGTGGATCTGGATTCGATTGATGGTCATATCTGCACACAGGTTCCTCAGTTGATTTCAATCTTTTTTTTCTATTTTGTTCTACTGACGCTTATCACACCTATCATTCATAGTAATGTTGTTTTAGTTTGTTCACTCCGGTTTTTTTATATTTCATTTTATTTAATGAAGACGTGTATATATGTATTCCTGTTTAGTCTTGACTGACATTAAAGTTATACTGTTGAATTCATTAACTTTCATTGTTATATGGTTTCTTTAAATTTTTTGATTAATCTAACACGATATATGCTTATTTTATTTGTTTCATTTTCAAGAGTGAATATGAAGAATATCGACATGAATTACGTACATTAATTGGAAATATAACACAATTGGATCCAAGATTTGTATTGGATACTATACATCAAATGGTTAGGCATTCTTATCATTTATTGTGTTCAAGAGATGCGAAAAAATCTTCATTGACTTTAGAATATTTACAACAAATTGATGTCACACTGAATTTATTCTACTTGTTTGGTGAAACTTGTAAAGTATGCATACATTTTGTTTATAATGCATTATTTGTATTTACTTTATATCTACCCACCATGTGAGTAATGCAGAAGTTAGGTGTAGAGTTTTAGGGAGAAGAGGTAAGTCAGTCGACGAGGTTGTGAACCTTCATCGACTGAGATGGTTGGGACACGTACTACGTATGCCTAGTCACCGATTGCCTCGTCACACAATGTTGGCTGAGGTGGGTTCAGGCTGGAAAAAGGCCCGAGGTGGCCAGACTAAAACATGGCACCAATGTGTGAAGTCTCTGACTGTTGGTTTAAGCCATGTAGGACGATGCAGACTAGGTGGTTGGGGTCCGCGGGACAAGAGGAACCAGTGGTTGGAGACCCTAGGTGATATGGCTCAGAACCGAAGTCAGTGGCGCAGATGTATACACACATTATCCTCATCTTAACAACGCTATACCAAATCTCACTATTCTGTCACTCCTCTTTCCTTTCTTCTCGTACTTTATATTTCTTTTGACTGCATTCACTTATCTTCATCCTTCACCTCACTACCTTTTACTTGATGTGCTGATATGAGGTGTGGCAACTCGGACCGTTACGCAGTAATGCCTGGTCCTATGTTGATAATGATGATGATGATGATTATATCTACCCAGTTGTATGATTGATACTACTTTTTTTCTACTAATTTAAACTGTTTTATTTAAAGATAAAGCAGAAATGTAATTGTTTCTATCATGAGATTGAATAACAGTTTTATGATTTCAAGGTGTTATTCGTCACGAACCGTTGAAAACAATCTAGGAGGATTGTACAAATGTTCTTTTCTAGTCTAGAATTTCTCAGTAGTGCACATCCCACCACCAGGGATCAAATCCGTGACTTTCAAATTTTATGGTGAGCACGTTACCATTGAAAGTCATTGGGTCGAAATTCAGTAGTCCACAGTTTTCAACTTTTTTTCTATTGGTGATATGGCACAACCATCATCTAGTACTATTGGTGTGTAATGTTCGTCACTGTTATGATTCGAAAACTGCTATACGCTATGTATGGCCGCTAACGATGCACTGACATTGCCTGTCAACCACCAACATTCAACGAATTTCTGGTTTATTCCTTACCTGACTAATTAATGGAGAAGACACGATGGACGTGTAGTAACGTATATTGGGAACGAAAAACCGATGACCAAAACAAAGTATATTTTGATTGGCCCCTCTCGAGACTAGTCTTTTCTCTCTATCTGCATATTACCTCTCTTTTCGAAATAGTGGTATTTGAGGTTAGACTGTGTCGCACTGTCTTTTCCTTGTATCTATCTGATCGACGCAGAGAGAGTTTCTCATTGTTTACTGGAGGATCAGTAGTCTTGTCGATGTTCGATTGAGAATGGGATGTGGTGTGATATCTAGAGGATGGTCTTTGTGGACTTGGTTTTGTGTGTTGGCGGCAAAAGCCATCCTTATGACTGGAGGCATCACAGTCGGGGCATCGATGTTGTTTGTGTGGACAAGATTTGACGAAATGCCGAGCAGCACAATGCCGATAAGGCTATGGGGATGTCTTTTTTGAGAGTCGGTTGGTATTGCATGAGTAACTGGGCCGATGAACAGGCGAGATAAGGTCGTGGGATGTATAACGAGAGGGTGATGCGGAGGAATGAGCTGTTTGGCGAACTGTATGCACTTCAGAACAACCCTGGCGTCTGGATTGAGCTAAACTGTTATCACGCTGTAGGTTGGCCATTCTTTGATATTGTGCAGAGATGTCATTTAGTGTTTGGATCTTGGGGTCTAAAGTGCGATAATGTGGGTTGTGCGGCGAAATCATGTTTGAGTAGTGGTGGGGCTGAGGTGGAGTAGGTGGAAGTAGGAGATGTACGTTGCAGGAATCATGTTGTCCATCGAGATCTAGTTTGAAGTAGTCTTCGTAATGCCTGAAGCAACTATCGAAATTGTGGTTGGCATGAGGATCTTAGTGAAATTCAGTGATGGTATTGGGGATGACATCACCTGAAGGAGGTATTAAACTGGCGTAGTAGGTAAAGATTCATTACCAGGTATTTTGGATTGTGTGAGTACCTCGATAATCCTGATTTGTTGTTCGAGGGAATTGTTCAACTTCGAAGAACCCAAGTAGCAATATATCAGTTGCGTCACCACTGTTATGATTTGGAAACCTTTATGTACTATGACCACCTAACGATGCAGGGATATCGAGTGTCAGACACCAAGGTCTAAAAAATTCCTAGTTGATTCCCGACCTGTCTAAATAATGGAGAAGACACGATGGACGTGTAGAAACGTGTATCGGGGTCGAAAGGCCGAAGGCAAGACCAAAGAAAGATATATCTAATATATATGGGTAGTTCGTTGTTTAAAACAATCTTATTGATTGATTCTTCCACCGTTTGCCTGTCTAATTGTAGAAGTGGTGACATAAAGTGCATTTTGAATGGTCCCTCTTCAGACTGATCTTTTCTCTACATCCGCATATCACTTCCACTCAACATGCGTGACTCCATAGCTCAGGATGTCGCTTCGGGACTTCGAGAAATTTATGTTGAAGCATTTTGTTTGAAAGTTTATTGTGATTGCTATCAAAATTGCATTCATCGTGGAATTGTTTGTTCACCGTTGATGAGTCTCATCTTTAGATGTAACAGTTGTCCAGTGCTCTCAGGTTTCTAATGTTTGTCGACTCATATATCACTCCGTGATGAAATAAAAACTAATAGTTTGACAAGTATTCCTAAACTGTATTTCATTCGTCTTGCACTTTTACAACACTGGAGTTCACTAAACCATGTGCTCAGACTTTAATTGATGATCACACTTGGTCGATACAAATTTCTGGAGTGTTTCATGTTAGAACACAAGGTGGATGCTTTTCATTAGTTTGTTGTTCTGGACCATCTTATTGTATCTGATTGTTCATGAGGTTGCATTATTGTGAAACCATGGTCCATTGATTTCACCACTTGACTTTCGATTAATGAGTGATAGGTTTTGGGCAATTGGGTAGTCCCATTAACCATAACGCCATAAGTTGGGAAGGTTAGAAAAGTCCAGTAGATTTTTTCTTCTTCCTCACATTTAACCAAAATAACTTTTATTCTTTAAAACTCTTTTTAGGCTTCTAAAAATGATCATTTCGCTCAGAGTTTTCCACTTCATGAAAGTATGATTTCAATCATGTCTACTCTGTGCACCGATTCATTCTCGCATTTACCACATGAAGTTCTACAATTGCAGTATTTTGAGGTTATGGCACGATATGAACGCTACTTTGCCCTAGTTCCAGAACACCTTTTCCATGTGATGGTATGTGTTTTTTCTTTTGTTACAGTACCTTTTTTAATGCTTACAAAAGGAGCTTGTAATATTGCTTCGTTATAAAGGTCTGTTTATATTTTTTTAGTTGTTAACCCCTGAGTTTTTTTAGGTACTGCTTCAAAGTATGCAGTCATGTTTTATCTGATGTTTGTTTTTCAATGAGTTAAATTTGTTTTTTTCTTATGGAAGTCTCCGTCTTGACATCTGACTACATAGGGATTGACCTACCTAATCACATGAGTTTTCGGTTAACCTGGAATAGGCCGATATGGTCCTGTTAGGGGAAAACGCTGACTGATAAAATGCAGAGTCTTCTTGATACATTGAATAGCAATTTGAGAATGTTTTGGATGCGTTTCTTCCCACCTAAATGCGAATTGTTGCTCTAGGACGAGTCTTCCACGATACCCTGGCAAACAATAGGCAGTGAAGGGGTTGGGCACATTGAGCACTCCACTTACCTGAGAAGTCGGATCAACCCTTCCCTGTTGGCTCAGCGACTGACGAAATCTCTGCACTCATAAGAAAGGCTCGGTTGGCTTTCGCCAACTCGCATCATCTGTGGTGCCGCCGTTATATCCGATTTTCGATTAAGGGTCGAGTGTACTGTCCTACAGTTCGCTCTTTTCTACTGTGTGGCTGCGAAACATGGGCATTTAAAGTAGAAGACATGAAAAGGCTTCAAATGTTTGACCACTATTACCTTCGTAGCATAAACCGTGTTTCATGGTGTCATCGCATAAGTAACGCAAAAGTCAGACGTAGAGTTTTGAGCAGGAGAGGTGAGATAGTTGATGTGGTTGTGAACCTTCAACAGATGCACTTATATGCGAGGTTTTCCGTTGATTTAGTCAGTTAGTCATTGAATTGGTCGGTCTCTTTTGTCCCATGGACTCATGCGCAGATGCCTCATAGCATAAGAAGTAGCTGTCATGACTTACTAGCCTAGTGGGTAACTCTTCGACGTTTGAAGTAATTGGTGCTACGTTCGACTGCGAGTGGCAATGAAATCACTCACTGGGAGGCACGTACACCTGACTGATGAGTCCAAACTAGGATGAGACGCGCTTCCTGGATCCTACTGCTATCCACTGTCCATCATTACAATGAAACTGACGGTAGTTAAATTATATTGTAGCTCATTTTGAAAGCAGTCGCTCATAATGCGTTAATCTAACTGTTCCCACAAGGCTGATGAGCAATGGATGTGGAAGAGTCTAATAGTTTGAGTCTAGTATAATATAGTATAGTTTATATCGCACGAAAAAATAATATTGGGATATAACCGATGAGTATCTGTCATTTCCTTTTCTTTTGTATACTTCGCTACAGCTTGCTTTCGTTGATGACCGTGGTTTACACAGCCCGTGGCACAGTGTAAGACTTCGTTGTGCTTATTTAATCAATCGGATCATAAAATCTCACAGGTCAGTGCTATTGATGAGAATGATGGAATTTTATAATTGTCTTTTCAAACTATCAGTGGTGATGGTATTTGATTTGTGCTTTTTTTCGGAGTTTATTTGTTTCATGATTCTGACAGTCACTGTGCGCAGAACTGAAAGTGATATGAATGTATCAAGTGTGATCCATCCTGGCTTATTTTTTCCTTCTAGTCTTGGTGTCCCCTCGTATCCTACTGATTTCCAGGAAAATCTTCCTTCTCGAGAAGGAAAAAATTGCTAGGTTGTATCATCGGAGGTCGTCACAATGGAAGTAATTCTTAAGATTATTCCTTCTAGTTCATGAGACATATGCTTTTTATACACTTTCCTGTAATATTTTCGCTACGGGAAATATGAGGTATTATTGCGCGTCGTACTGTGAAACTATAGCCTATCAGTGTGAGCGCTTATTGAATCTCTAGGTTGATACTTATTCCCCCTTTTGTGAATAAGGGAACTACATGGTGTCATTTAACGACACAATTGGTTTGACTAATGACTTTTTGCAGGGCTCTGTAATTAACGACTGAGTTGTGTTGCTGAATTGGATTTTCTCTTATCGACTAATTCTATTTCTATTCCAAGTGTATTAAGGTGTTTCTAAGCGACAGTCACTAATTTATAGATATCCGATCCAAGTTGAGAATCGATAGGAGGGCATTAAGTAACTGATGATTACTCATTTGTATTTCCTACTGAATATGAAACAAAACTTGTTTTAACTGACATTTCGCTACATACTTAGTGCTAATAGCTTTATCCAAGTTATAGTAAACAGGGATTCGCAATATCCCCAATGCGTTATGTATGATAACTAGCAGTAAGCCCTGGACTTAGGTTTCTTACTTGTTGACGCTCATCAGCTACCTCCACAGAAATGATATCTCGCGTAAGATTCAAACCCGTGTCACCCACTGTTGTAGTCAGGGATTTTACCACTAAGCTATTCGGGTGGCGATTGACCTCGTGTGGGGACTAGCTTACATGTGTTAATTGTTCACAGGAGAGCAACTAATTTCATGTTGTCTAGTCGAGAGTGCAGACCAAATCCTATGGATCACATTTACAATGTGGCCACCAATCTGAGAAGCTCAGAATCACGGTGAGCATTGATAGGTGTTGGTTGATTGGAGGCAACTGGCAGGGAACCCTGGACCCAGGTTTCGTGCTTGTTTGGCACATTACAAATATTATCGATAGGATTTGGTCTGCACTCTGGACTAGACAATAAGAATTTGTTTACTCCCCCATGACCAATCAATCAAGATCAATCGTGCCCCGAATAGCTCAGAGGTAAAGTCGCTGACTACAACACTGGGTGATGTGGGTTTGAGTCTTAGGAGATACATAGGTTCCTTTGAGGTTGTAATTACGCCTTGCTGACGAGTGCCAACAAGCACGAAACGTCGATCAAACAGGGTTTACTGCCGATCGCCTCCAACCAACTAACATCTGCCAATGTGCACCGCGATGCTGAACCTCCTAGCTTGGTGGCCACATTGTAAATGGCATCGATAGAATTTGGTCTGCACTCTGGACTAGACACAACATAAAGTTGGTTCCACTCCCATGACCAATCAATACATGTAACTCAATTCTACAGGAGATCAATCACCGACCAAATAGCTCAGTTGACTACAACACTGAGTGACATGGGTTCGAATCCAAGATGAGATATCATTTCCGTTGAGGTTGTAGATATGCTTTGCTGACGAGTGCCAACAAGTACAAAATCTAGATCCAGGGCTTCCTGCCGATTTCTTTCAACCAACTAACACCTGTTTTCAGTGTTTAAAAAAATGTTTTTTCCATCTCTTAGTTATACATGAGTAGCTTCTCAATGGCAGCTTAGAGTTTTATTTCATTTCCATTAAAAAACCCATTTCCTTGTAATCATCTGTCTGAGTGACAATTTTTAATTTAAAAAACAACAACTCCCCTTTTTAATTCACAGGAAAGCACTCCTACCGCATACAGAAGAATATCTTTCACGTTTTACAGATCTACTAGAGTTATCTCTAGAACCGGATTACAGTGTTTTAAATAGTGAAGCAAATGAAAGCATTGGCTTTCTCAACGGTAATACTGTTCATATAGGCAAATCCGGCTCAACTGGTTTGGGAATCACTGAACAAGGTTTTCTTTATGAAGCAGCAGCTCAGTTGATTGCTGCAGGCGGTGGTGGTGGCAATGTTCAACTGCCTGTTTCAACTGACAATGCCAATGGAGAAGATCGTATTGGAGAGCTGTTTCGTGTTCTACTCACACCTGTAATGATTCAGTATGATCAATTTGTCACAAAGTATATTTCAGAGCAAAATCCTAAAATAGCTGAAGTCCGCGGAATTTTAGTTAAACAAGTGACTGATTTAATCACGTAAGTTTTTGATGTGTTATTTTTCAGTATTGATAAATGTATACTGATATATACATTTGAATGAACTGAATTAGTCTGGGGCTCATTGGGTGATTCTTGAGGTTCCAATGAGAAGTCGTGACCAGTGGAGTCAACCAAGTAGAATATGAAGAGTTACTCAACGATAGCGTTGGATGTAGGTTGCGCTATATCGTGAACTGACAGAAGTAGGAAATGTGGACGATTGGATTCCGATAGAGTGGCTCAATGGTGAGGTGTTGTCCATGGAACCTGAAGGTTTAGTCTCTAGAGAGGTGGGCGGAATCATGGGTGCGCACTGCTGAGGAGTCCCATACTAGGACGGAACAGCTATCCAGTGCTTCCAGGCTTCCAATATTTCTCGAACTTATGTCAGTCTGTGGTGAATACTACCTCAGAATTGATTATTATTTACCTGTTTTTCCCTGAAGAAGCTGGGACCAGACTTCTGTGGGAAACATTAAAATTATTTCATATCAAACATGCTATGACTCACACATACCGATATTAGTAGTTCATTTCTAAAAGGATTCATTCGGCTTAGCATCAGTTGCTAAGTGGTAGTCAACAAAATCTGAACAAGTTGATTCACAGAATTCACATGAGAAACTGCAATAAGTTTGTCTCATGTTTGTCTGAGTCTTGTGGCGCGATGTAGACTGCTTGGCTGAAGTCCACGAGACGAAAGGAATCAGTGGTTGAAAACTCTTTTTTTGATATGGCTGTAAATCGGTCACAATGGCGCAGATGTATTTACTCCATGGCATCTACTGAAGCCTCAGTATTCGCACTAAAGTTTATCCTCAAACTGTTTATTGCGTCACACAACTCCTACTTTGATATCACTCCTTTTTTATCCAGTCGTTAGCGTCTCACTCTCACCCGTCAAATGTTAGGTGGTGCTCCTGGACTGGTCTGAAAGTACTCCTAGTTTAATGATATGGGGTGAAGTGATGGGATATTTAGACCAGTTCGTTTACTTGGAGTTGCATCTATTGGGACGAGTTGCTTGCTGACGAAATCCCAGTTTGTATACAAAAGGTTCCTCTGGCATTTGACAACTTACGTCATCTGTCACGTTGGCTGGCGATATATACGACTGTAAATCAAACGACAAAGTATAATGTACTGCAGTGCTTTTTGTTCTATTGTACGGCTGAGACATGGCCGTTAAAAGTAGACCTATGAGGACACTACTCGGTTCCAATCACAAATGTTTTCGTAGCACTGCTCGCTTGTGGTGGAATCGCACCACGGTGTGAGTAATGTTGAAGTGAGGTTAGAGATACTAGATAAGATAGGCAAGTTGATTGATGAGATTGTAAACCTAAATTGACTGAGATGGCTTGGACGTGTACTGCGCATGCCGAGCCACCGGGTACCTCGACGTGTCACGCTAGGGAAGTTCGATTAGGTTGGAAGATAGTTCAGGTTAGACAGACCGAGACCGTGGCACCAGTCGATGTAGTATCTGATTTTTGACCTGAGTCGTGTGGAGAAATGTAGATTACTTGATTCGGGTCCCACGGACAAAAGGAATCAGTGTTTGATGATTCCTGGTGACATGGCTGAAAATTTCTGACACTGGCGCAGATGTATTCACTCCTTGATATCTTCTGAAGCGTGAGTATTCACACTAACCTTTATCCTCAGACTGTTTATTCTCTCATACAAATTTATCTCCTTTGATTTCATTCTTTTTTCTACCCACTGGTTCTTTGTGTACTCATTGGGAAGTGCGGCTACTTGAGTCGAGGCAATTGTGTGTATGAGGTTCCACGTTGATTTTACCTGTTTGTCTGTTAGGAATTAAAAAGGGTGGTTGAATCATTTTTATCTGTTTTGTCATATAAGTACCATTTCTCTTTGTAAATTTCTAATTGTTTATCCGTTTCAGAAGAACTACTCGAGTATTTTCACAATCAAAGTCTGTTATGACTTCAGGATGTCAGGCCGTGTTAATTGATGCGATGCGACTTATAATTTCAGAGCTATCACGTTTTCCAACAGAAGCTGCCAGTCCTGGGCGACAGGCTGCATGTACTGGAGTACGCGCTTTTCTACATCGTATGGTTGCGTGTATCATGCCTACAAGTGAACCTGGCTCTGTTGCACCCGAGAACTCGGTAACATCGGATATCTTGTTAGCTGCACTTATCGATGCTATCCCTCAACTAGTTAAACCCTTACGTTCTGGAACATCATGTTATAATGGTGACCAGGTATCAGATGTTATGGACGCTGAACAACGCTGGAAAGAGATCAGAGATGTAATACCTCTTGTTACCCAAGTTGTACTCAGATATAAGGTATGACATAATCAGTTGGTTGTAAAATGTTTTACTCCTGTATGTCAATTTGCATTCATCATGTTGGAGTAATTGTATTTCGGTTACGTTCTCGAATAATGTATGGCACACACGCTTCTGACTAGAAGTTAATTGTTCACTAGACACCAGTGACTCAAAAATTCTGAAAAAAAGTAGCGAGAAAGAAGACTGAACTAGAGAGGGGGAAAATCTTGGCGTAATAAGGCGCGAAACGGTAGTTTGAAAGTGTATTGAAATAAGTTTATTTGCAGATCTAGAGCCTGTCAACAATTTCATTCCCTACGAAATCATCTAATCTGATGGTTAGTTTGTGTAATATCTTACGTAATCACAAATTTTGTCACCATATGCCTATTTATTATTGAGAAAATGTGTTAGATATGTTAGCTGGGCTTTGTGAGTTTCATCCCAAATGATATCAGCGTAGAGGAAATGAGTACTGAAACATAGACATCCTGAACTACAGATAGATATTCTACACATAGTGAAAAAATATTATTCACTGGGTAATAGTAACATAAATTCTACTGGGATTATCAGTTTTTGGCATTATCTAAAACCACCTAGACTACTAACCGAGGAACGGCTTCGTTCAGTGTGTTACATCCACTGTGGATTTCTTAAGCTTATTCACAATAGTGTCCACTGGTTTCTTCATATGTTTCTCTTTATATATTTTCGTTCACTTTGCGTATGTAATCAGCTTTATTCATCACAACCATTGAGTAGTCTTTATCCGATTTGCTGATTACCATATTATTATGATTCCGTAGGTTCTTAAAAGGCTTACCTTCTAATTTGGATGAATTTGATTTCGTTTTCATTTGTTGTTTTAACGTTAGTGCACATTGTGGTCATACCTCATCTTCAACATGTTCCGGTTTCAATTGGTTAACTGCTATATCTAAGTTAACACCTTTTTTCTAGCATTTTTATGTCTGCTTAGCGTTGTGATTCGAAAACTGCTATACGCTATGTATGGCCGCTAACGATGCACTGACATTGCCTGTCAACCACCAACATTCAAGGAATTTCTGGTTTATTCCTTACCTGACTAATTAATGGAGAAGACATGATGGACGTGTAGTAACGTATATTGGGAACGAAAAACCGATGACCAAAACAAAGTATATTTTGATTGGCCCCTCTCGAGACTAGTCTTTTCTCTCTATCTGCATATTACCTCTCTTTTCGAAATAGTGGTATTTGAGGTTAGACTGTGTCGCACTGTCTTTTCCTTGTATCTATCTGATCGACGCAGAGAGAGTTTCTCATTGTTTACTGGAGGATCAGTAGTCTTGTCGATGTTCGATTGAGAATGGGATGTGGTGTGATATCTAGAGGATGGTCTTTGTGGACTTGGTTTTGTGTGTTGGCGGCAAAAGCCATCCTTATGACTGGAGGCATCACAGTCGGGGCATCGATGTTGTTTGTGTGGACAAGATTTGACGAAATGCCGAGCAGCACAATGCCGATAAGGCTATGGGGATGTCTTTTTTGAGAGTCGGTTGGTATTGCATGAGTAACTGGGCCGATGAACAGGCGAGATAAGGTCGTGGGATGTATGACGAGAGGGTGATGCGGAGGAATGAGCTGTTTGGCGAACTGTATGCACTTCAGAACAACCCTGGCGTCTGGATTGAGCTAAACTGTTATCACGCTGTAGGTTGGCCATTCTTTGATATTGTGCAGAGATGTCATTTAGTGTTTGGATCTTGGGGTCTAAAGTGCGATAATGTGGGTTGTGCGGCGAAATGATGTTTGAGTAGTGGTGGGGCTGAGGTGGAGTAGGTGGAAGTAGGAGATGTACCTTGCAGGAATCATGTTGTCCAGCGAGATCTAGTTTGAAGTAGTCTTCGTAATGCCTGAAGCAACTATCGAAATTGTGGTTGGCATGAGGATCTTAGTGAAATTCAGTGATGGTATTGGGGATGACATCACCTGAAGGAGGTATTAAACTGGCGTAGTAGGTAAAGATTCATTACCAGGTATTTTGGATTGTGTGAGTACCTCGATAATCCTGATTTGTTGTTCGAGGGAATTGTTCAACTTTGTAGAATCTATTTCCCAATATCACACTTCTCGTCCCTTATTATTCATAGTATATATAACGATACAGTGCTCCGATAGGAGGCGAGTAACGATTATGCATATATATATATATAGCATTCCTTGTGATTGACCCATGACTAACCCATAGGTGGAAAGTTATTTTTGAGATGAGTCGGGATTTTTTTAATTTAGAAGTAGTATTTATCATGGTCTGACATTAGTTGGGGAACCATTGAAAGTCTGGGAGCACTGGACAGCTGTTTCATCCTAGTATGGGACTTCTCAGCAGTACGTCCCCATGACCCGCTATGGATCGAACCCAGGACCTTCAGGTTTCACGGCGAACGCGTTACCCATCCAGCCACTCGGTCGGTTTCCACTGGTTTACAATTTCCAACTTCTGTCAATTCATGACATAGCGCGACTATCACCCAAAGGTCTTCAGTTAGCATCCACTTCACTTCCAACTGCTTGACCCCCACAGGTCACGGCTTCTCATTAGAACTTGTTTATGTCCATCTGGAAGCAAGTCACTAATGAGCACTATACAGTAATGTTATTTTTGAGATGAATGGGGATGAAGGTGCTGAATTCGATCCGTAGTCGGGTCATAGGTGCGTACTGCTGAGGAGTTCCATACTAGAACGAAACAGCTGTGCAGTTCTGCCAGATTTCCAATGGTTCCCCAACTGATGTCAGTCCATGATGAATACTACTTCTAAATTTAAAAATCGCCACTCATCTTAAAAATACATAAAGTGCTCATTATTGACTTGCTTCCAAATGGATATAAACAAGTTCTAATGAGAAGCCGTGACCTGTGGGGTCAAGCAGTCGAAAGTGAAGTGGATGCTAACTGAAGACCTTTGGGTGGTAGTCGCGCTATGTCATGAATTGACAGAAGTTGGGAATTGTGAACCAGTGGAAACCGACCGAGTGGCTGGATGGGTAACGCGTTCGTCGTGAAACCTGAGGGTCGTGAGTTCGACCTGTAGCCGGGTGGTGGGTGCGTACTACTGAGGAAAGTTGTCAACTACCTTTTGAGCATTGAAACCTATAGGTTCTCATAACATTCTTCAGTAATGCTGTACTGAGAGAAGGCCATTCATATATGTGCGATCGTGGGCACTGTGGTAGAATATGATTGCATACAAGATTGATTTTTTGGTTTATTACACAGCATAAATTATCACTGCTCGTAATCATATCAATGTATAATCACGCAACACATTCGACATCTGATTTTTATAGTCCTGTCACCTCTTATTTTTTGTTTCTGTTGGTAGTGAAATTTCCATGTCTCTGTTATAGGTGTGTGGCCTTATTCTTCTTACACAGGTTGGGTGTTGATTGATTCGGTGAACAAAGATTCAGTAATCAGTCTCTCTCTCTCCACCCACCCTAGGGTTAGAGTGGGGATTTAGACAATCACATTGCTACTCCTTCTGTTTGTTTGTATATTTTGTTCTGAAACTTGACTGTAGAGGTCAGACACAACTGTACGCCTTATTTAATCTCATCAACCGATATCTTAGTTCTGTGAGTCTGTGCTGAGTCAATAGTTAGGAAAACCATGCTTCACAAACGTTGAATCCCACACCTAAGATATGGTGGCAATATATGGATGACACATTCACTGTGTTGAAATCAGAACATATCAACAATTTCCTCATACACAAGAACTCAGTAGTAGACACAATCCAATTCACTTATGATGTTAGAAATGAACAAAGAGAATTACCCATGTTGGATTGCAAGATAAAACGAAGGACAGACGGTGGTTTAGATACTACCGTCTACAGAAAACCGACACATTCTAACAGGTATCTAAACTTCAAGTCATCTCGTCCAGTTTTAGTGAAGGCAGGTTTAGTCAAATGTCTAAATGATGGAGCTAGAAAACTGACTAGCCAGTGCAAGGACCTAAACAAGCAACTGAAGCACGTAAAAGAAGCGTTATTAGATAATAATTATCCTCCACAGTTTATTAAGAAATTTATACGAACCCTCAAGAAACGAAATAATAACAGTCACACTAGTTGAACTAAGTTCAAGGCCTCTATTGTGTTACCATATCAGTAGGAAACTTAGGATTCTCAATAAGGCTGGAATTAGGGTGGCATATAAATCTACAAACTCACTCAGAGATAGGCTTAGTCGACTGGCTTAGGAATTGGATAGATTCAATTGAGCAAAATAATCAAATTCCATGTAATGGCTGTGAGGTCAAGTATATAGGTCTAACTAGTCATTTAGATTAACGGAATGTAGCTAGAGGTAGAGTTATGGGGACAATAAGCGAAGCTATTGCAGTACATGAATTAACACAAAACCACACAATAGGATGAGTGGGCTAAAGCCACTGTACTTAAGTCCATTATAAATAGATAGAGAGAGAGATTGATTACTGAATCCCACCCACCCAACACGTAATAAAAATGATGCAACACCTATGCCAGAGATATGTAAATTTTTACTTGCAGTAAAAGCAGAGAATCTGAAGTGACAGAACTATAAAAATCAGATGTCGAATGTGTTGTGTGATTACACTGATATGATTATGAGCAATAATAATTTATGCTCAAAACACCATCAAGGAAATAATAGAGTGTCACACTGTATTGTAAATCAAATAAACAGATCTAATATGGAATTAAGAGGAGACCAGTTCAATATTTGCCAACTAGTGTCATCTATGGGGCTGGCTGGCTGGCGAAGTAACCGACTATCTATCGAAGGATGAGTATACTGTACTCCAATCTATTCTGAATCACTTTACCACCTAATGTCGCATACATTGTTCGACCACTGATTTCTATTGTCCCACAAGTTTGACCCATATACACTAATCCCAGCCGATACAAACTGACAGTCGGTACCCTTAGAAAGGGTTCATATGCTTTCCTTCGATCACTTTAGTCGTTCTCCGAAACAGTGTGACGACGTGGTACAGATGCTTACGTGTTAAGGTATAGGCCACGCTGATTATGTAAGTATGTGTGATGCACTATGGTTACACAGGCCCTATGTGAGTAAGGCTAGGTTTAAACGATAAACCCGTTGATTAATAGTTAGATGCCTTTGTGAATGAGTTATATCTTGTTAGTCGTTTTCTATCTTTCATACTAATGACCATTACTGGTCAGTATAGATTATTGTTTGGGATGTGTCAAACGAATTGGCGACGGTTAGTGGTATTCGCGAGGGGTGCCCCCTGTCACTGTTCCTACTTTCTTTTATTATAGATTTGTTAGTGTGTCTAAACTTAGGTACCTCTAACTTCATAGAGATTGATCTACTCCTTGGAGGGCATCTAGTTGACTTGGATTATCCAGACGATTGAGATGCTTACAAAATGCAGGGTGATCTAAACTCGTTGAACAGAAATCTGAGTATGTTTGGTTAGCATCCGATTCGCACCTGTCAAGAATAAGACAATGAATGCTCCAGGACTGGTTTGCTTCAAGTACTCTCAGTTTAATGATAGGGGAAGAAGTAATAGAATGTGTCAACCACTTCACTTTCCGAGTGAGTTGCCTCAGTCTGAACGGGTGTTTTTGTACCGTCTCAGGCGTATGGTGGAATCATCAGTGTAGCAGTGTTGAGGTCAGGCGAAACGTACTAGGCAAGATAGACAAGTCGATTGATAAGGTTGTGAACCTTCATCGACTGAAGTGGGTTAGCCATATGTTGCACACGCCAAGCCACCGTCTACTTCGACGTGGAATTTTAGCTGAAGTTTGACTGGATTGGAAGAGGGTTCGGGTTGACCAAACTAAGTGGTGAGGCCTGCACTTGAAGTTTCTGACTTGGAGTGAGCCACGTAGGGAGATGTAGACTACCTATCTAAGGTCCTTGAGACCGTAGGAGTCAGTAGTTAGCGCTTATTAATTAAGTGGTTGGAAATCAGTCACAGTGATGGGGATTTATTGACTCTGATGTCTTGGATACCTTTTCACTAACCGAAAATTTTAATTTTCTACTCCTTCAATGCATATCTTAGTCTTCGTTTGTTATCCGTTTTTTCTATCCACTTGTTTTCTGTGTCCCACTGTCAAGTGTGACAGCTTGAACCGATGCCTTTGTCTGTCTCTCGCCTAACCCAACTGTGACACATCCAAAAACATCGGTGCACTACTTTTACTATCTCATTCCAATTATCCATTAATAACATGACTAAGGCTAAACCGTGAGAAAAATATTTCGATGAATGAAATCGAATTCCATCTTCAGTTTGTGAAATGTGGTCATCATAGAGTGCTTATATAAGCATGCTTCTATTTTAGAATTATCGTTAAACTATGGATCGGGTACATATCCTTTAGTGTTGTATCACTACGTCTTGCACAAGCTTCCCATCACACTGTACCAGGAGAGATTCGCTAGGAGGGTGAATTAAATTAGTAATTGTAATCAGCTTATGAGCGTGTTAGAGCCTACGGTGAGATGTCCGGGGAGCTGTGCTCATCGAGTGGTGTCCGTCAGGGCTGTCCACTCTCTTCATTCTTATTCAGTTTTATCATAGATATTCTTGTGGAGGTCTCCCTCGTCACCTGACTACACCAAGGTTGACCTAATCGTGGGAAAATTTTCGTTAGACCTAGAATACGTAGATGAAATAGTCCAATTAGGTGAAGACGCTGACAAGATGCAGAGTCTTCTGAACACTTTGAGAATGTTTTTGGGATGCGTTTCTCACCACCAAAATACAAATTGTTGCTCCAGGATTTGTCTTCAATGGTGCCTCGGCTAGCAATAGAGAGTGTAGTGATTGAGTGTATCGACCACTTAGCTTACTTTGGAAATGGGATCAGCCCTAGTGAGCCAGTGGCCGATGAAATCTCTGCCCGAAAACAAAATAACTCGGTTTGCTTTTCCCAGCTGACGCCATCTGTGGCACCGCCGTGATATCCGATTGTCTATTAAGGGTCGCGTGTACTGCATAGCAGTCCATTCTGTTTTACTGAATGGTTGTGAAACGTGACCATTGAAGGTGGAAGACATGAGAAGGCTTCAGGTGTTTGACCAAAGTCGCCTTCGTATTATAGGCTACCGTATTCCATGGTGTCACTACATGAACAACGCAGAAGTGAGGTGTAGAGTTTTAGGGAGAAGAGGTAAGTCAGTTGATGTGATTGTGAACCTTCATCGACTGAGATGGCTGGTCGGGATACGTGTTACGTATGCCTAGTCGCCGATTGCCTCGTCACACAATGTTGTCTGAATTAGATTCAGGCTGGGAAAAGGCTCAAGGCGGCCAGACTAAAACATGGCATCAATGTTTGTAGTGTTTGACTGTCGGTTTGAGCCATGTGGGTCAGTGCAGACTAGGTGGTTGGGGTCTTGGGGACAAGAGAAACCAGTGGTTGGAGACTCTAGGCAACATAGCTCAGATGTATACACACATTATCCACACCTTGATGCCATAACGAATCTCACCATTCCCTCATTCTTCCTTTTTTTCTTTTAGTATTTTATATTTCTTTTGAGTGATTTTCCTGTTCTTCACCTTGCACTTGACTGCCTTTTTACTTGTATTGATACGAGCTGTGGTGACTCAGACCGTTACGCAGTAACGCCTGGTCATATGTTGGTTTGAATGAATGAATGGAATCAACTGAGTAGTAATGATAATAATAATCTTTTATATATTCCACTTTTTGTCTTTCATTGTGTGTAGAATCAAAGTATTCCATTCTTATCAACGTGTCTGCCAGGTTTACTAGAGGCTATAATGAGTGCTGTAAATGAACCCCTACCTCCAGATCATCCAACATTATTTGAAGAAAGAAAGTTACTTCGTCGTGGTTATCTCCAGTTAGTCCAGAGTATTTATCAATCGGTTCCGGATGTTTTTTCTCAGCTTATTAGTGAAAATATTGTACAAGTCAGTTTTCACTATCATGCTTTTTTTTTATTTTCTCCAATATGAGTTATTAGATGATCACAGCTTCAAAACTACGACTTAACATTGAAATGTATTTTGTTCATAAGACGACACAATCATTGATTTAAAGCTGTGCTAATCATCTGTTCATTAGGGAACAGTTAAATGCTTCTGAAAACTCATTCTTCAAGGCATGAAAAGTGATATTCAATCACTGACTTTCACTTCCAGGTGACATAGTTAGTCTTCATTCACGAGACTGCTTTCGATGGATATCAAGAATGTAATCGAATTATATATATTTAAATTTTGAGGGGTTGTGGAGATTTGGAATTATTTCAAGTTGTTATTCATCGAAGACTGACATCAGTTGGAGGAACAAAGGAAACCTGGGAGCACTGGACAGCTGTTTCGTCCTAGTATGGGACTCCTCAGCAGTGCGCACCCACGACCCCACCAGCGGGGATCGAACCCGCGACCTTCAGGTTCCGCGACCAGCGCGTTACCATTGAGCCACTGGGTCAGAATCCAATGCTCCATATTTCCAACTTCTGTTAGCTCACGATATAGCGCAGACCGCCACCCAATGTCATCGTTGAGTATTTGTCCTCACGGCCATCAGGCTTTGACTCCACCGGTCACGACTTGTCATTGGAACTTCGGGAATACTTCTCGAAGCTAGTCACCAACGAGCACTAGTTCAATTAAATTTTGAGGGGGTTGTGGAGATTTGGAAATATTTCAAGTTGTTATTCATCGAAGACTGACATCAGTTGGAGGAACAAAGGAAACCTGGGAGCACTGGACAGCTGTTTCGTCCTAGTATGGGACTCCTCAGCAGTGCGCACCCACGACCCCACCAGCAGGGTCGCGGGTTCGATCCCTGCTGGTGGGGTCGTGGGTGCGCACTGCTGAGGAGTCCCATACTAGGACGAAACAGCTGTCCAGTGCTCCCAGGTTTCCTTTGTTCCTCCAACTGATGTCAGTCTTCGATGAATAACAACTTATATATATTTGTAGGCTCTAATTCTTATAAATTTGTTTTGGTTGTAATTGTTGTGTTAATCAAGTTGATCTACCGATTTAACCTTATCACTGACCTTGCACATGATTGGTCTTTAATATACTGTCTCAATCGTGTATCCTCAATGCATACACTTAATGAGTCATGCAACAACTCGACCTTCCCAACCGTTTGCAACGGAACACAGTCGTTCTTATTTTCTGTATTCTATAGCTTATGTGAATCTTCTGTACGTAGAAAAACTGAATCACCTGGCCAGACAGACTAAAATGGAATTATAATCGACCACAGTGTCAAAGTTTTACTGTTATATCAGTACCTTAATTAAAAAAAAATGAAGCTGCCAATTTCCGGTTCAAAATACAGTATGATGCGTAATAATAGATTTCACTTGAAATGCAATTATTTTCGAAGTCATCTATAAATGGATGAGGAGTCAATCGGAAGCTCTTAAACCGAGCTATACACTAATGTTACTAATTAAGTCATAAATTTAATAACTTTCAAAATAAATAAAATAGTACGACTAATGACACTTATATCTGAGATTCACGTTTGCCACTTTCCGATTAATAATATTAAAGTGAAATAAATAGCTTCAAAAATACTGTTAATTATGGAATCTAGAATATTGAAGTAGAGTTCAAAGATTTCAGTTTAAGTCATCGTTAATTTCACATGTTTTCGTCTTTGTTTAGCTAACTTGGTCGATGGACTATTATTATTATTTTTATGATTACTTATCCCTTAGGTTCCTAATGGAACATAGTGCTCCAGTAGCACATCTCCAGTGAACTCTGTTCTCTGAAATTTTTTGAACCTGGCTCCACGACAGCCCACAGGCTCTCATTTCTTCCTCACACGATCTCCTCCATGTCACCTTCACCTCGGACGCCCAGCTCATCGTTTCCCATCTGAGTTCCACTCGACGGTCTGGCGCGTGATGTCCACAGTCGGCCTTCTCAGTACATGCCCAATCCATCTCCACTACCTTGAGCATATTTGTTGAGTGATAGGTTCTTGCTTCGTTTGTTCATCGCCACGCCAGAGTTGCTTGTTGCTTATTCTTATTATTCTGGCCATCTGATCTGAGCTTCAGTGACAAGCCAGCGTAGGCAGTTGTTGATGAATGTCTGTAGTTTGTGGGAAATGCTTTTGGTAACGCGCCGAGTTTCTGAACCATATAGAAGCACTGACTTGACTGGATTGGTGTTGAAAATCCGGATGTTGTTCACGCTTTATGCTGAGTATAGTAGGTCTCTACACTGGTTTCAGGATAATGAAGGTCTGTCTTGCTGTCTTTCCGATCGTGGCTTTGACGTCCTCGTCTATGCCGCCTGTAGTTGAAACAGTGCTGCCTAGATAGGTCGACGAAGTACGCGATTAATAATGGAGACTTAGCAGTTACATCAGTCAACTACGTTACATCACCGCTTACTTGGTCGATTAAGAAATATAGCGCTACTTACGAGCTTGAAATGTTATTAACTACAACGCAGACTAGTGTTTAAACCAGTTTTCATAGTAGAGATATATGAATTATGAATAGTTGCCACATTTCGTAGCTTCAGAGTGAGCTGTTGTTGGAGATATCCCTGGATGTTTTTATAAACCCTCAAACTCAGCGCCTATGACCACTTGGATTCTTTTTAAACTAGACATACACATAGACTATTCTGAAACCTCTTGCAGTGCTTTGACTGGTCACCTTCAGCGTTCCAATCTCGATGGAGATCGGACGACAAATAATTGCTACTAGTATTCAGGAAAGCACCGCTATCGGTGTATGGGTATCTCAGAGGTCTGCATACAAACTCTTAGTGAAGTGTTTCTAATAGCTTCGCAGTCAGTCATCTCGAAAAGTCTATCCAATGATCATGTGGCACCACCTTCTGGCCTTGCTGGTGTTGGATTAAGTATGAGAACTGCTCTTAAGCTAAAATGTTCAATCGGCGTGAAATATATGTGGCTCGTGAAACGATGTCTCTTCTTTGTCTATGTCCCGACTGACTGTAACCCAGATCAAGTTAAGGCTAAGTTCTGCCATCATAGGTGTCCTCAATATATATATGGTAGTGCTTCCTGGTGATTATCAGTACATAGGTCCGGTATCTGAGTTCGAACGAAAATCATTTAAGTAATTATGGAGGATTATTCACCTGCAGGTCAGGATGATAAGAAACATCTTCTACGGCTTTGCAAAGATAACACTTTTTGTAGCCATAATCATTGCGATACTCGATGTCTTCCCTCTAATACTCAAGATTGAACTCAAGTTTATGATGTTGCTATCAGCTACTAATAGCGTGTGTTTATTCAGGACTGCTGCTTTCTTTCTCTAAAATATCTGTATGTACTCTAATCATACTTCTGTGTGTTTTTTGTGTTCATCAAAATCATCGTTCTATGCAAGTCACCTTCAGCAAACTGTTTACACCTTGTATTATAATTAAAAACAGCTAAGTGCGAGGCTGGCTGTACTAACAAGATGCCACAAAAATGGTAAGTAATGCTGCTTGTGGCTTTGAATAAAGCTAAAGGACATTGGGTCTCTACCAAAACCTTTAGGCTTCTTGATGCTCATCGGTATATGTGGTAAACAGGAAATATGATAGTGTGCATGTGGACCACTTGGCATGGTGGTCAAAACGTGCAAGTGAGACACAAGCAGCAGTTACATCTAGAAATAGTCGGAAGCTGTTTCAACTCTTGCGAGTCACTGGCAGTCAGGGATGCGGTCTCTAAAATGGATGATATGCCAATCAAAAACTTTCTAAGACATCTGAGACTTTAGGAAGAACAGTTTGAAAAGCAGTTCAGCTTGCAGCCACATCAACCTCAATATCTTATGTTCCATGGTCAGTAAACACCAATTCACCTAATAAAACAGACTTCCCTAAAAAACTCCAAGTTCCTAAACGCTGTAAAGTATCTGGTAAGCACGACCTACCTTCGACTGTTTTTAAGGATGAAGGTGAAACTGTAGTCAGAGTATTCCATCATTCTGAAATGAAAACATTGTTGTACCCATCTTTAAAGAGGGTCTACGTAATACATATGATAATCATCAGGGTATCAATCTACCACCGGTAGCATCTAAATTATCGGCTGCTGTCATGCTTCAATATCTGTTCAAAATGTATGAGAAACATATCTGTGAGGAGGAGGCTGGGTTTCGTCCATTTCGTGGATACATATTGATCGCGTGTTTACATTCCACCAGATACTTGAACACTGTCACATGTATTACAGGCCAACAATCATTGTGTTCCTCAATTTTAGGATAGCCTTTGATTCATTAGACACTATTGTACTTTGGAGTTGTCTGTTAGATAGGGGTGTCCGAGAAATTTGTCCAGACATTGAAAGCCTTCAGCACCTCAGGTTAAGCGAAGGTTTACAACTAGCTTTCTCCATCGTTCCAAACTGATAGTGAGGTTAAATAGGACTATCCAAGTTCACTACTTTTTAATTTTGCTATCTATTAGATATTAGAGATGGCCTTAAAGGAGGTGCGTGGTGGTTTAGTGAAAAACCTAACTAGGATATATGGACTCAAATGTCACTCAAACAGTTAACCATCAATTTCCGTAAGTATGGTTCATACTTCGCATCATCGAAGTGCAAAGTGCTTTTATAAGATTGGCAGGAGTCTGTACTTTCACCCTTGGTGATCCGCTGCAAGTTGTTGAAAAGTTTGCATACTTGAGTTGTTGTGTGAGTGCTGTTGAAGTTTAGGACAACAATTATGTTTCCAACCGTATATCAAAGCAACAGTGACATACACCAATCTAGTCCCTCGTTGGTTCAAATCCCCTTTAACTTGTCAATTTCCAACAAACCAGTCAGTGTCATAAACCCTCTTCACATCTTAGACATAACTTTGTCTACTGCACAAGCATACGAGTAGTTTTTGAGTTTCAATAGTTCATTTTCATTTACTTATCTAACTTAACATTTAAGATCTTAAATTGCTGTTGGATAACCATATCACCACCTTTTATGTATTTTTATATTTTAGAATCTTTCCACAGTTTTAGGACAAGTTCAAGCATGCTTAGAAAGTGATGATCCAATAGGTTTACGCTCAGGTGTGGTATTATTTTTACAGTTAATTCAATCAGCTGGTCATGATTCTCATTTTTATGAAGATTTCTTATTATCCCACTTTATTCCATTTTGTATTATTGCACCAATATCTCCTACATTTCGTACAACCGATGGTCAATTCATATTAGTTTTGGATAAAATCTCGGAGTGCCTACATATTTTGTCTGAAAAACAAGTAAGTTATACTGTGTGTAATCTATGTTATATTATCAGTAATGAAACATTTATTGGTTAACAAAATCATTTATGTATGGTTTATCATGTTTTCATGTTGTTCTTATTATTCATTTCTGAGTTTAGTAGAATTGTAAGAGTCATCAACATTATTTGAATCTCAAGATGGTTGAATGTTGGGATACTGAAAGTAATACTGAAGTTTTATTCATTAACTCTCTCAGTGTATTCAAAGGTCTTCTTCAATTCATTATGTATCCTGACTGACTAACTAACGAAATCAATATAGAACTTCTCATAAAAGTGTAACGGTTCACCTTGCCTCGCTTCCCAGTACTACACAAAGAAAAAGTGGATCGAAAAAAGTAGTGATATCCAAGTAGATAATCCTGTGTGAAAGAATAAGCAATCTGAGGTTAAAGGTTAATGTGAATATTCAAGCTTTAGAAGATGCTGAGTGAATAAATATGTGCCGTTGTGGCTGGTTTTCAGCCATGTCATCGCTAAGAATCAGTCCTCAACCACTGATTCCTTTCGTCTTGCGAACCTCAGCCAGGAAGTCTACATCGCCCCACACGACTCAAATCAACAAAAGGAGTCTTCATGGTGTGGCACCACATTTTGGTCTGGTCATACTGAATCCTCTTCCAACCTAATCCAACTTCCCCTCGTATATGACACGTTGGGATACGTGGTTGCTCGGCATGCACAGTACACGTTCAAGCCATCTCAGTCAACTTAGGTTCGCAACCTCACCAATCGACTTGCCTGTCTTGCCTAGTAACTACCTCTTGTCTGACCTCAACTTTGCTCGCTCAGTGATTCCGCCGACTTCGAGCAATGATACGAAGACATCTGTGGTCCAAGCCATCATATATACAATTTAATTTCGTCTGAAGTTCGAGTAGTATAGGATGGAAGTAGAATACCACTAACCGTTGTTCAGTTACAAACTACTAAGAATTCTTGTAGCTTAAATGTAATCATATTATGCGGTATAATTTACAGCTCTATCTGATGCTTCTTATTGCTCTTCATATCCTACTGAATTGAAGCAAAACTGCACGATCTGTAAATATCTAGTCAATAACTATTTGTTGATATACTTGTAACTCTCCCTTATTACACTGGATCTAATTGTTCAACTTCTGTTGGCATATGGCATCCTATGCGGATGTCTCGATATTGCCTGAACATATCTATTATACTAATTCATTTGGTTATGGCTAACAGGAGAATCCAGGACGTCTGTTTCGTCCTGTTTGGGACTCAGCGGGGGTGCAGTTGCATCCAGCTGATAAGTCTCAAATAGGAGGAAACGCGAATCCTAGATTTCTCTGCTAGCCACAACCAAGTCAATTACTTAATCAATAGTTGTTACGAGTATTGTGGAAGAATTTGAGTAAATTTTAGTATGATTCCACTGAGGAAACTATGAAGTACATGGCGAAACTCTCGGAAATATGTTGTTTTGATTTCCCAAATGCTTCATAAAACGCTGCACAAAGTACGTAAATGTAAGTCAAACTAAGAGATGTATTCATCCATTTAGGACACTAATCATCTAGAGAAAACATTTTGTTTTACAAGAAAACATCACTACATTGCGATGTCATTTTCCAAGTATTTTCTTTACACTGATCAGCTGTGGCTGATTAGTTTAAGCTGTTGACTTTCAACCAAGTAGGGGCACGAGTTTGAAACTCACTCTATCTACTGAAATTTAGGCAGCCAGGTAGTCTTACACCCTAGGTGTGACGCAATGCCTACTGTACGAGGGTGCATGCGGTTTCTGATCACTTGTTTCACACTGCAGGAGGACACTTGAGTAATCTTCATGCAGGTGAAGTAAAAAAAATTCAGACACTTTTGTATGATAAATCCATGTAGGTCACTTATCATATGATATTTTATTACTCTCTTCAGTTTTTCTTAGATGAGATTGCAAGATCCCTCGCCAGAATTTTGTTTCCTAATAAAAAGCATCCAGTTAAGTAATAGGTCTTATGTAATGAACTACGATCACAGATTGTATATGATCCTATTTTTTGATGCTAAACCGTTAAAGATCAGTAGCTTAGGATTTCCAAATGGGGTGCCGACCAATAAGTATCACCTGTTTTCATCAATCTACAGAATATAATGTTGAAATCAGGAAAGAACAAGATATTCAATGAAGAAACTTTTCAACGAATTTATTTTCAAGCTGTGCAATCGAATATGTATGATGATGATGATGACAATAATAATGAAACGGATGATGTCATATGCACTTGTGATTATGATAACAAGGTAGATTACGCAATATATATGGAATCCTAAATAACTCAGAAAGCGTGAAAAAATTAATGAAGGTGGTAAATCAATTAAATATCATGTTGTAGGATTAGACAACTTGGTCGAGATGAAATCAATGTTTTCTAAAAGGAAAACCACTGAACGATTGTGATAAGAATTCTCTGCTTGCGATTGTGAGAAGCTGAAGAAATTTGTGTGTACTACTTACAGTCTTGGTTCTTTTCTTTTTTTATTGTTGACGGTAAAGTTACCATATAGACTAGTGCTTTCCTGTTATAAGGTTGGAATTCATCATGGGCTGACATCAGATGAAGAAACATTGAAAGCCTGGAAGCCCTTGACAGCTGTTGCGTCCTTGTATGCAACTCCTCGGCAGTCCGCCCCCACGACCCTGCCTAGGATTTCAGTACTTGAATAAGTACAAGACATGTATCAGCGAAGAAACACTTCTTTTCAAAGACTTCATTATCAAGCTGTACAGTTGTATTTATACTCGGTAAAATGACACAATCGCACTACGAAGTTACTCAGTTAATAGGCAAAATATACAATAGGTGCAGGTAGTGGCATTTGTTCAAGTGGAAGAAAAAAGGGAATGAGTCACTGAATAAGGAACGAAGTGACAACAAGTGGTGAGATAAGAGACACGTACTGTCAAAGAATTGTAAAACGATGATAATTTAGTTGAAACATACAAAATAGGTTGATGAATAAGGAATAAATTGATATTAAATAGTGAAATATGGGTCAAATGTTGTCAATGAAGTGAAGATTGGTGATGATGATGATGATGATGATGATGATGATGTTAATGAAAGAGAAGTATACCAAAGTGAAGTCAAATGAAATCGAGAAAAGTAACCAACAAGGAATTGTTAAGGCCAATGTAGAGAAAGTGGTTTCACAAAACGTTATTGAATGCAAAGTTTCGGTTTTTGTTCATACATAGATAATGCTTCAACCTCTTCTGGTTAACTAGTTCACTAGTTACACTAGCCGGTCCTAAGCACTGATCAACAGGCAGGGTTAGGCATAGGGCTGGCAACCCTAACCCCGTAAAACCAATCCAACTGCTAAACAAACTTCAAAGCACATACGAAAAATAAATACAAACTTATTCTTTGCTGGAATCGGAGAGACGAAATGACGCCGGTTGGTGGAGGCCTTCGGGAAGCCAATTGGCCGATGTGTCTTCTCTCCTCTCGATGAAAGCGAAAGTAAGCATGGGGACATGGAATTTCCGCACAATGCTTCAACCTAATAAGACTGCCCAGATAGCAAAAGAGATGAGTAGGTATGGCATGGAAGTGCTTAGAATCTGCGAAAGCATATGGAATGGAAGTGGATTGTCTAAACTCTTAACTGGAGAGTCAATATTCTACTTTGATATTGTCACCCAGACAACAACTATGGGCACACGGAGGGAGTGGCCATCACCATGTCTCCATGAACATCGAAGGTTCGGATGCAGTGGGAACCAGTCTCCTCCAGGATCATAACAGCAAAGTTCAACTCAAAAGGAAGGAAAGTCACAATCATTCAATGCTACACTACGCTACGCTACGCTACACACCTACAAATAATGCAGATGAAGAGAAGAAGGAGGAATTCTACAGACAGCTGCAATCAACACTGGACAAGACCCCCATCCCAGTTGGCGACATGAATACCAAACTGGGAGGGGACAACACAGGAAGAGAACTAAACATGTCGAGAAGCACTCGGTGAAATGAATGAGAACGGAGAACCGTTTGCAGATTTCTGTCCATTCAATGATTCGGTGATCGGAGGCAGTGTGTACAAACACAAGGATATTCACAAGGCGAGCGACATGGATTTGATTTCACCAGATGGACACACTACACTAAAAATCAGATCGACTTCATCTCAATGTGAAGAAAGTGGAGACGCAGTCTACTGGACAAAAGATCGGATCAAGAAGGGGAGCAGATGTAGGTTCACACCACTCACTATCTAGTGCAAGGAACCTGCATTCAAAATCAAGTTGAAAGCCTTCAAGGAAGTTGGTGATAAACCACAGTTGGAGTTCAACGCCCAAAACTGAAACTGAGGGACGAAACTGCAAAGGACATCTTCATGTCAGCCAGTAATCAAGACAAAACGAGAGATATTGAACAACATGAATGAAGAAACTTGTTTGGAAGAACACTGGAAATCTTTGAAAGCTATGTGGAAAGAAACTTGCATAGCCGTATTCAGAAGGAAGACGAAAGAAGACAAGGAACGTATCTCGACGGACACATAGAAGCTGATAGAGAATGGAGAGGAGGATGGTGAAGCACACGACGACGAACCAGTGCATTGCAGGGATGAACAACGAAACGAGGAACTGAACACATGCTATAAAACACTACAATGGACAAAGAAGTGAAGAAGAGTGTGCGCAAAGACAAAAGACACTTCTATGACACACTGACAAGTGAGGCAGAACAGACTGCAGGTAGGAGAGACCTAACAACATTATATCAAATCACCAGGTTACTATCTGGGAAGAGATCAACACAGATGAAACCAGTGAGGGATAGTGAAAGAAAATTAGTTACTAAAGAGGAGAAACAAACCGCCGACCACTTCAGAAAGCTCTTCAACCAACCACCCCCACTACCTGCAACTCGTCCAGAAATACCACCAGCAACCACAGAACTACCAGTGAACACAAATCCCCCAACAAAAGTCGAAGTCCTCAACGCCAGAAAGCTACCGAAGTGTGGGAAAGCAGCAGGACCACATGGAATTCCTCCAGAAGCACTCAGAACAGACGCAAAGACAACAGCAGACATGCTCACTCCACTCCACTACACTGCAGAAGGTTTGTAAGGAAGGAAAGGTATCTACCGATTGATTGGAAGAAGGGTTACCTTGTCAAACTCCCAAAGAAGGGCGACCTAAGTCTTTGCAAGAACTGGCGAGGAATAATGCTCCACGCTGTCCACACCACGCAAAATATTAAGCCATATCACCCTGGAGAGACTAAACGATGCCCTAGACTCAAAACTACGACCCGAACAGGCTGGCTGGATTCAGGAAGTACAAATCATGTGCAGACTAAATTGCAACGCTACACTACGCATCATCATAGAACAGAGCTAGTTACCCAAGAGGAGCAACAGAAGAAAGAAAAGGATGGGTTGACCACTCCAAAAAACTCTTGGATCGACCACCACCACTACCTGCAACTCGTATAGAAATACCACCACCAACCGTGGAACTACGAATGAAAACAGGCCCTCCGATAAAAGCAGAAGTCTTGAATGCCATAAAACTGCTGAAATTCGGGAGGCAGCAGGACCAGATGGAATTCCTCCAGAAGCACTGAAAACAGACGGAGACAACAGCAGACATACTCACAACACTAATGCAGAGAGTTTGCAAGGAAGAAAAGGGACCTGCCCATTAATTGGAAGAAGGGTTACCTTCTCAAACTACCAAAAATGAGTGGGTGACCTAAGTCTTTTCAAAAACTGGTGAGGAATCATGCTCCTATCCACCCAATGCAAAATATTAGACAGCATCATCCTAGAGAGACTAGACATGGCACCAATGTATGTAGTCGTTGACTGTTGGTTTGAGTCATGTGGCGCGATGCAGATTAGCCGTTTGGGGTCTGCGGAGCCAGTGGTTGGAGACTCTAGATGATACAGTTCAGAACCGATGTCAGTGGCGCAGTTGTATACATACATTATCCTCATCTTAACGACATACCGAATCTCACCATTTTCTCATTCTTCCTTTCTCTCTTCTCGTACTTTACATTTCTTTCCACTGAGTTTTCTCCTCACCTTGCACTCGACTGCCTTTTTACTTGACGTAGTGATATGAGCTGTGGTCACTCCGGCCGTTACGCAGTAATGTCTGGTCCTATGTTGATATTGATGATTATGCATCCCCAACATGTTTCATAGATCACTTGGCAATTCGGGTTTCTTCAAGTTAGTACTCATCATGGACTGACATTAGTTGGAGAAGCATTGGAAACCTGGGAGAATGGACTGGTGACGATCATTGTAACATTTTAGAAGCTCATCTACGGAACATGTTTCGTCGCAATATAAGAAATGTGTCGTCGATGTACGTTTTATACATATAAGGTTCTGAAATTATTTTTTAAGTAGCCCGTTCTCGAGCTTACCATAAAGTTATCAGCCAGACCAGAGTCTAGTGGAGATCCCATTGCGACTTCTCACGTCTGATCATAAATTTTGTCATGAAATTTTGATTCCTAGTTTCGTTGCGCTACTGTTTATAATGTGAATCGACTAATGAACCCATTTAATGTCATTTGCTTACTGTGTTTTCTTTTCATATTCTTCAGGATGGTCTCCATAATTATTTAAAAGATTATTTTTTACCACGACAGCAGTTATCTCCTGAATTAATTGAGTCGTATACGTCTGCATTGAAAGCAAATTTAAAGGATTTTCAATCATATAATAGGGTGAGTCACATTTGTTTATCGTTGTTCTGAATACTGTACCGTCTAGTTTAGACAATCTATCTGTATAGGCTTTCAAAGCTTCATTAAGTCATTAACTTCTTGACTTCAAAGTTCTAGGTATTACCTCGATATTAGCATCTGATGTTAGTGATATTTTTAAGATATTAGAAATCAGTTATCTGCAACTGTTTTGTCATCCACCTCGATTAACTGAGTGATAGAACTTTCATTGTTTCTTTCCCTTCCGGTATATCTACTGCCTTGATATGGTGGTGGGGCTTACATAACACAATGATCTAGTGACCTGTACTGATGTGTGTCTCTTGTTCTGTCGAGATCCTACCATAACAGGTCAGAAAACAGTCACCGTTACGGTATGAATTACTTTGCCATGATATGGGTCTATGAGGGCCAAGTCGTACTCCTGTCTGAATTGGGTGATAACAGTTATATGCCTTCCATGGATTACTAGCACTGCGACTCTGCTGCTCCCTTCTCCTTGAGATGGGTGAGTGTTAAAAAAGACCATTCTTAAAAACAACACACTCCCTTCAACTCTGCAGCCAACGATATGGATTCATTGTCGGTTCCGAGAAAAGAAACTTTATTTTCAAACTTCTCTAAGGGCTGTGTGTGACTAACCTCAAACAGATGTCCATCAGGTTCTGTTCACTAAGCCTTCTTTCCAAGTAGGTCAAGAAGAATGATTTGAATAAATTGATTTGTTGGTAATACAAAATGACAGGTTAACAGAAACCATTCACTTCACTTGGTTTGTTGATAATGACGGTGGAGTTTTGACTGACTGACTGACTAGAACACTCGACTTTTAAACTTTGGGTCCTGTGTTCATTTCTTGCTTTGCTTATTCTGATTACTATCAATATATATATATATATATATATATATATATATATATATATATATATATATATATATATATATATATATATATATATATATATATTACTTGAGCTTCAAAGCCTAGTATACACACAAACTTTTACGGTACTATGGAATCACAATATGCATAAATACTCCAGGCCGTTTGTTCAGGTGTCTAACTACCAATAACGGACACTTAAATAACTCTCTGGAGTTCAGTTTTCGCTCGTTATGTAGTGTAACATGGAATGATGTACTAAGAGTTGGTGATTTCTGTGAACAGGCAGCTTAATCAGAAATAATCCATATCGTAGGAATATTGCCGTGCACGTCGACATGGATTTCATAGCTCATGAATCTGTATGTGTGTGTTGGTGTGGAGCTAGTCGGGGTCTGGCGAGTTTGATTCATGGTACTCATACTATGCTGCATCAAGACCTAACTGACCGTAGTTCCAAGTTTGTAAGGGGTTGTAAAACACTGTTTCTGGGCGGCATCTTCGATAAGGCATTAATATATGACTGATTTACTTATTTATACTCTTCTTCTTCGCTTCTCCTTGTTAACAGTCCTGTTCTCTGAATTCGTCTGCCTTATCTTTGGTTATTCATTTAATGTCAACCTCATCATTAGGATCAACATAGGACCAAGCATTACTGCATAACGGTCCAAGTTGCTGCACCTCATACAGCACATCAGGTAACCAGGCAATAAAATGGAAGATGAAGAAAGAAGGAAAAAGAAGTAGAAAGTAGTAAGAGAGAGGAAGTAGGAATGAGAAAATGATGAGATGAAGTATAGTGGTTAAGATGAGGACAATGTGTGTATACATCTGAGCCATGTCGCCTAGTCCCCTGTCTGGTAGACTCCTACTGCCTAGTCTGCTTCGCCCTACATGACTCAAACGAACAGTCAAAAACTTCATACATTGATGCCATGTTTTAGTCTGGCCACTTCTAACCTTGTTCCAGCCTGAACACACTTCAGCCAACATTGTGCGACCAGGTAGACGGTGGCTAGGCATACGTAACACATGTCCCAACCAGCCATCTCAGTCGATGAAAGTTCACAGCCGCATGAACTGCCTGACCTCTTCTCCCTAAAACTCGACACTTGACTTCTGTATTACTTTCGTTGTGACACTACAGAATACGGCCCATACTACGAAGGCAGCGGTGATCAAACACCTGAAGCCTTCTCATATCTTCTATCTTTAATCGCCATGTTTCACACGCATACAACAGGAAAGAGCGGACTGTAGCACAGTACACTCGTTCCTAATGGGCAATCGGATATCGCGATGGCGCGTCAGGTGGTGTAAGTTGGCGAAAACCAACCCAGCCTTCTGTATCCATGCAGAGATTTTGTCGGCCACTGAATCATAAGGGCAGGGCTGATCTAACTTCTCAAGTGTCTAACCACTACACTTTCTATTGTTAGTCGGGTTATTTTTGAAGGCTGAGTACTGAAGCGACGATTTGCACTTGTGGCTAGCGAGAAGCGTATCATGAACATTCTCAAATTGTCACATTCAAAATGTTGAGTAGACTCTCCATCTCATCAGTCAGCTTCTTCACTTAACAGGACCATGTTATCTGCTGTTACTTATTTCAAGACCATATTTCAGTTACTAAGTTGACCTTATAGGTTTGATCAGTCGCATTCATATGCATGCAGAAGTAGAATTGTTTTTTGTTAATTGTCTATTGTTTTGTTCAAAAACTTTGGCAATTCTTTTAACTAGTTTCTAAGAATAATGTTAATAAGATGATAGTTTAAAATTACAATTTTCCATGATATACCGCAGAATAGATTTAAGCTTGTTGTACATGTACTTGTACATGTACAACATATACTTGTATAGTCCTGTTAGGTGAAGACGCTGACAAGATGCAGAGTCTTCTGAACACTTTGAGTGGGAATTTGAGAATGTTTGGGATGCGATTTTCACCACCCAAATGCAAATTTTTGCTCCAGGACTGGTCTTCAGCGGTACCGCGGTTAACAATAGAGACTGAAGTGGTTGAGTGTGTTGACCACTTCACTTACCTGGGAAGTAGGATCAACTCCGGTGGGTTAGTTGCCGATGAGATTTCTGCACGGATACAAAAGTCTCGATTGGCTTTTGCCAATTTGCGCCACCTATGGCGCCGCCGTGATATTCGTTTGTCTATTAAGGGTCGCATGTACTGCACAGCAGTCCGGTCTGTTCTACTGTATGGCTGTGAAACATGGCCATTGAAAGTGGAAGACATGAGAAGGTTACAGGTATTTGACCACCGTTGCCTTCGTAGTATAGGACGTATTCCGTGGTGTCACCATGTGAGTAATGCACAAGTTAGGTGTAGAGTTTTATGGAGAAGAGGTAAGTCAGTCGACGAGGTTGTGAACCTTCATCGACTGAGATGGTTGGGACACGTACTAGGTATGCCTAGTCACCGATTGCCTCGTCACACAATGTTGGCTGAGGTGGGTTCAGGCTGGAAAAAGGCCCGAGGTGGCCAGACTAAAACATGACACCAATGTATGAAGTCTCTGACTGTTGGTTTAAGCCATGTAGGACGATGCAGACTAGGTGGTTGGGGTCCACGGGACAAGAGGAACCAGTGGTTGGAGACCCTAGGTGATATGGCTGAGAACCGAAGTCAGTGGCGCAGATGTATACACACATTATCCTCATCTTAACGAGGCTATACCGAATCTCACTATTTTGTCACTCCTCTTTCCTTTCATCTCGTACTTTATATTTCTTTTGACTGCATTCACTTATCTTCATCCTTCACCTCACTACCTTTTTACTTGATGTGCTGATATGAGGTGTGGCAACTCGGACCGTTAGGCAGTAATGCCTGGTCCTATGTTGTTAATGATGATGATGATGACATGTACTTGTGTGCATGTTTTCTATGCAATGTTTGATTTTAGAAGTCATGTAAAGTTTCATGCATCATATGCATATAACTCTAAGATAATTATGTTGACTCTCATTTCTACACTGATGTTTTTTTTTCCGCGTTGTCGTTGTCATCAGAAAAAGAAGATGATATGTTAGTGCATTTAATTATATTCACTTGTTACTATGTGGGTATTTTGTTTTCTGTTAGATATGATCCTCGCAAATGTACTTTTCCAATTATCCTTAGTAAAGATGAGATTTGAGAACTCAGAATATCTCAGGTTGATATTCATCATGGACTGGGACACTGTTTGGAGAGATATTAGAAACGTGGGGGCACTAGACAACTGTTTCGTCCCGGTATGGGACTCCTCAGCAGTGCGTCAGGTATCGAACCAAGGATTTTCTGACTTCTAAGATGAACATCATATTCTAAACGGTTGAAAGTAACTCATTGTTTCCGTAGAACAAGTTTTTTTTGATACCAACAAGTTGTAATTTGGCGATTGTCGTCGAGTACAAGTTTTTAGTATTCACACTGTGACGAAGTGATGCATTATTAATGCAAGACGTCTAGCTGAGTGTTGATATCCAAATATTAACAGTTCAACCTCTTGACTATGGTTTGACTGGTAACACACCTTCAAATAACAATAATCTTGTGTATATTTAAGTCAGTAATGAAGTGGGCGAAAACCAAATTGAATTTGAGGAGAGGGGATTTAGTAGAGATTTTTCAAGTTGGTATTCATCATAGACTGACATTATTTGGAGGAACACTGGACATCTGTTTCGTCCCACTACCATGGAACTCTTCAGCAATGCACACCCACGATCCCATCAGGGATCGAACCCGTGACCTTCAGGTCTCGTGGTCAGCCCGTTACCGTTAAGCTACTAGGTTGAGATTCAGTAGTCCATATTTCCAATTTCTGTCAGTTCACGATGTAGCCTGACCACCACCCAATGTCGTCGTTGAGTATTTGTCCCCACGGCCACCAGGTTTTCCCCACTAGTCTCGACTTCTCATCGGGACTTCGGAAATCACCTCTCAAGGATAGTCACTAATGAACACTGGTTCAATTGAATTTGGGGGGTTTGCGGGGATCTAGAGATTTATCAATTTGGTATTCATTCATGGTATTCACCTGGGAGCACTGGACACCTATTTCGTCCTAGTATGGGACTATTCAGCAGTGTGCACCCATGTCAACTGACAGAAGTGATAAATATGGACCATTTGAATTCGACTCAGTGCTGACGACGGAACCCGAAGGTCATGGGTGCACACTGCTGAAAAGCCCCATACTAGGACAAAACAGCTGTCCAGCACTCCCAGGTTTCCAATGCTTCTCCAACTAATGTCAGTCCATGATGAGTACTAACTTGAAGAAACCCAAATTGCCAAGTGATCTATAAAACTATGCCGTTAGTAATTTACAATAAGGAGATTAGGTGGATTTCAATTCAATGATGCTAATTTGATGGTTCGTAGAGGGATGGACTAAGCAAATCGCTTGACAGAGTTTGGAGTATGTGAAAGAGGTAATTAGGTTAGACAAGTGGAGTATGTTTAAAAGCTTTCAGTTCCTTTCTTGTTGGCATTTTCCGTCTGATCCGTTTGGGAGAGAATGAGTTATCATCATAATTGTAATGCATAAAACTGCCGTTTTATGATACTGTAACGGCGTGTACTTTCTTTCCTTTTTTTTATTTTTGTTATATTTAGAGCTTCTATGCGCGTTTCCATTGATGTAGTATCTTGTGAATAGTAAATGCTTGATTGGGATGGATAACTTCGAAATGTGTATTTCTTCTGTGTAAAAATTATTTGTTCAACATGATAACTTTGATGTGTCTATGCATAGTATCTGCATAGATATAAAAAGGAGTGATTGTGATGTATTAGATTTTTTTTTTCCCTATTTCTCATCTCCTGTTTTCGTTGACTTTATGTTTTCATGTGTATAACTTGTGTTCTTCTCTCATTCCCTTCTGGATTGAACAACTTAGAGAATAATTTGTTTAATTGTTTCAACATTCTTGGATTCGATAGTGTGTTTTTATACGGTGCATTTTTTTGTACTATTCCAATGGAATTTTATTTTTCAGCTTACAATCGATGAAATAGTCCATCATAAAGCTCTTTATTAAAGAATTATTACAGATAGGCAAATGTGCTAATAATTCCTTCCTTCATTAATAATAGGCTTTACTACTAATCAGAACTTCGTCAAGTCTCTATCTCTTTGGATCCCCCCCCCCCCCACCTCTATCTTCATTCTCCTGTTCGCTAATTTATTACTTAACTTTTTACCTTTCAGTAAAATGGACAAAATTTTGGTATGTTCTTACTTTGTTTGAATTCCTCTTATTTTCTTCTACTTTCTTGTACATGCTTACTACTGATTGTGATTAATCCTATGTTCATATACAAATAAACATATCGAAAAAAAAAAAGTTTTATAAAACCATTTACTTTTCGAGATTAAAGTACACTGTGTGTAATAGTATACCTTTTCATGTAAGATGTTCAGTGTTATTCAGTAGGTGTTGTATGTATTGGTACTCAACAGCAAGGCGCTTTTTCGAAACTCTGTACTGAAGTTCTTACTGATGGTTACACTGCAAACCTGTACGATAAACGTAGATCAAAGCTAGAAATTTAAATCAGTGCCTATTGGTGACTAAAGGATGCACAGGATTCAAAATTACGACCGGAACAGGTTGGCTGGCTTCAGAAAGAACAAATTATCTGTGGATCAAATTGCTACACTACGCGTCATCATAGAACAGAGTATAGAATGGCAGTCAACTCTCTGTCTCAACTTCATCCACTGTGAAAAGGCCTTCGACAGCGTTGATCGTGAAGTAATTTGGCAGTTGCTTCAACACTACGGAATACCACAAATCTTTATTAACCTCATTCAACAGCTACATGAAAAGGCCACATGACAAGTGATTCACAATGGAAAGCTTAGTGACGCCTTTGAAGTGAAGATAGGAGTAAGACAAGGCTGCCTACCATTACCCATGATCTTCCTGATTGTGGTTGACTGGATCATGCAGCAAACCGGGAGGAGCGAGAAGATGGGCATAGGATGGCGGGACCGATGAGAAGAGTCTAGAACATTTACATTTCTCCAACGATGATGATTTATGTCTCATGTCTTGTCGCACAAACTCGAAGATCTACAGGCGGAAACTAACAAGTTGACAGAAAAGGTATTGAAAATGTGGCTTCAAATGAATGTAGAGAAGACGGAGGTGGTGAAGATACCCAACGAACAACAGCATGAACAAGAAGCACCATGAACGGGAGAAACCTAAAGGAATTTGTCTCTCTCACCTACCTACCTAGGCAGCATCGTTTCAACTACAGGCGGCGGTGGTACAGGTGAGGATGTCAAAGCCAGGATCAGAAAAACAGCAAGACAAGCCTTCCTGCATTAATCTGAAATCAGTGTGGAGATCTACTGCAATGCACTCAGCATAAAGCGTGAAGAAGATCCGGATTTTCAAGGATAATGTCAGTCAAGTCAGTGCTTCTATGTGATGGTTGAGAGACTTGTCGCGTTACGGAAAACATTTCTAACAAACTGTAGACATACATCATCAACAGCTGCCGCCTACGCTCACTGGATATAGAAGATCAGATCAGAAGGCCAGAAAGAATAAAGCACCAAGGAATTCTGGCCTGGCAGCGAACCAACCAAGAACTCATCGCTCAACAAATATGTGGAAGAAGAAAGTGGAGATGGATTGGATTGGACATATACTGAGAAGGCTGATTGGGGACATCACGCGCCAGGTTAGGACCTTAAATGGAACCCGAAGGGTAAACGAGGAGTTGGGTGTCCGAGGGTGACATGGAGAAGATTGTATAAGGAAGAAAAGAAAGCTTGTGGATAATCGTGGAGCCAGCTTCAAAAGACTGCAGAGAAGAGAGTGTAATGGAGGCGTACTACTGAAGCCCTATGTTCCACCAGGAACCCAGAGGAAAAATTAATTGGTGGCTATTTTGTGTACACTTGTTTACTTTTTGAGAATCAAGTTCACTTCTTATATCTTGGAGATGAAATAAATCTCTACAAAGTGTGTAGTAGATTTACTTATTCGAAAACAGCATAGTAAAAAGCTGTGTATCCGTCAGAAATTGCTACATTTCGCTGAAGATAGAAATGTAGTCGTTGAGTTTATGCACTCTTACTGAACGAGGTGGCTTAGAAATGTTTTGTGCGTACACAGAGCCATAATCTTCCATGATGTACTATGTTAGGTGAATTGGCAGTAGGTTAGAAGAAAGTTAGACTAAGACGCTTTAACTTAAGGACCTACATATTAAGGAGAATGAAGAGAAATGGTTAGTTTCGATATAAAAAGGCTTTATACTAAAATAGCAATCACTGTGGCACTGGCGGTAATCAGAAACCAACTAAATACTGAGTCAGAACTAAGATATCGGTTGATGAAATCATGTTAAGCTTGACCTCGACAGTCTTCAAGTTCGAAGAAAAAATGTATAGACGAACAGAAAGTGCAACAATGAGATCCCCAACTGTAGGAGATATGTTCATGGATAGTTGGAGAAACATGACTTTACAAATATTGAATTCTACATCTGAGATATGGTGGCAATATATGGTTGACACATTTACTATGCTGAGATCAGAACATATCAATAGTTTCCTCATACACAAGAACTCAGTAGTAGACACAATCCAATTCACTTATGATGTTGGAAATGAACAAAGAGAATTACCCATGTTGGATTGCAAGATAAAACGAAGGACAGACGGTGGTTTAGATACTACCGTCTACAGAAAACCGACACATTCTAACAGGTATCTAAACTTCAAGTCATCTCGTCCAGTTTTAGTGAAGGCAGGTTTAGTCAAATGTCTAAATGATGGAGCTAGAAAACTGACTAGCCAGTGCAAGGACCTAAACAAGCAACTGAAGCACGTAAAAGAAGCGTTATTAGATAATAATTATCCTCCACAGTTTATTAAGAAATTTATACGAACCCTCAAGAAACGAAATAATAACAGTCACACTAGTTGAACTAAGTTCAAGGCCTCTATTGTGTTACCATATCAGTAGGAAACTTAGGATTCTCAATAAGGCTGGAATTAGGGTGGCATATAAATCTACAAACTCACTCAGAGATAGGCTTAGTCGACTGGCTTAGGAATTGGATAGATTCAATTGAGCAAAATAATCAAATTCCATGTAATGGCTGTGAGGTCAAGTATATAGGTCTAACTAGTCATTTAGATTAACGGAATGTAGCTAGAGGTAGAGTTATGGGGACAATAAGCGAAGCTATTGCAGTACATGAATTAACACACACTGGGGCAGAGTGAAACCACTGTACTTAAGTTCAATATAATTAGGTAGAGAGATTGATTACTAAATCTTTGTTCATGGAAATGATGCAACACCTATAATAGAGATATGGAAAACTTTACCAATAATAGATACAAAAAATATCAGGTGATAGAACTATAAAAATCAGATGTCACTGTATTTTGTATTAATCAAATAAACAAATGGGATTACATTGTACTACAGTGCCCATGGTTTACACTTATATTAACCTTGTTAACAATTATTCCCAATTTTTATTGTTCAAGACTGTATCAAAGATAGGGCAGACGATAATTAACTGAAGTAATTTGTCTCAGATTCAGATATGCTTAAATTTTTCGATCTTACTGGCAAAAAGCATAAAATTGTTTTTCTGAGGAGAGACGAAGTTAAATTGGGAACAAATAAAAATGTAACCACTAAAGTGATCCAGTCAAATTTGTGACCAGATATCAGGAAGGCAACAATATCGGTGAATTGAATATTACTGAAAGTGATATAACATGTTGGGGATGTTTTGCAGTATACCAATCTGTGACACAATGTTTTACCATTTGAGTCTCCTTATTTTGGTTGGATAATTCGGATTTTAGCAAAAAAAAACAGTGACTCTGAAGTTTAACCAAACAACTACTGAAATAAGCCAACAGGTTTTTGGATTTTCGCCGAGAGGGAGGCTATTGCATGAAATAGAAAAACTTAAATGGCATCTGTAGTAGTTTTGGAAGTGATCTTTAATATAATTCTGTGTTCATGATTGAATCCTTCAAATTCAGCACGTAGTGCGACATATGAATGTTTTGATATGTTATTTCCCAATGTAGAAAGATATTTTAAAAAGTATATAATTATTAGTAATGTCATGAAAAGGGTGTGAAACACTAATTTTAAGGTGTCAATGATGGCAAAACGATCATCTCACCGGTCAATACAAGCATAACTATTATACTCTCATACATATTTACACCTCGATATAAGCTGAAACCATTTATGAGTTGATATTTGAGATCCCCAATTGTAGACTATGTGGATTATTCTCAAATAGTTCTAAGACTGGATGGAGTGGTGATTGTAGGCAGACAAACAAGACTTTTATTGACGAAATCGACTGTTCAAATTGATCCATTACAATGATGTTCGTTGAGAAAAGCAAACGCTTACTTCTCAACTAATCACATTTTGTACTGAGAAGAATTATATTGTCTTGCTGTGTTGGACTCTGAATGAGAGAGTATCAAGAAGAAGTTGGACAATTGAGTAAATCAAGTTTGTAATCACGTGTTACATGAGACTGATGACTTTCTTATATCCACTGATGAGCGTTATCACTGCTGCATGTTTGCGAACCACCTACATTAAGTGAAGAAATCTGAGAATCTCAATTCAAATTGCAATATCAGTTCATATATCTTGTTTGAATTTGCTTTTATTTGTGGTGGATGACACAGAGGAATTGACTGCTATTCCCTGGATGAGTCGAGGCATACAGATGAAGCATGCTGTCGCCGTGAATTTGTCAGTATTTAGCATCGCTGTACTCTGACCGGTTATTATACTCTACAAACTGCTCATCGATCGACTCAACTGAGGTCAGTCAAGTAATATCACCACAATTTAACTAGCACCTGGAGATAATTATTTTGACTGAATGATGTTGACTCAAAATGTATGAATTAATATTCGTGTTGATTCAGTTTTTTTGATTTATTACAGCTCACCTCTACCACTTGATTAGTTTTAGTTAGTCTTGTCTACAATTAGCTTACATTTTGTTCATTCTCACTTCAGTGACGGAATTCCAAATGAATTAAGACTTTAGGAAGTCGTGTGGAAGCAAGTAAACCGGAGGTGATGTGATTTATTTCAGCTGTGGTAAATGATCACGATTTTGCCTGGTTTTGTAATGACAGCTTTCGGTTACGATCAAATCAGTGTACGTGACATTACTACAACCACCCGGTTGATACAAAAAAATCATCCACTAGTCAAAATGCATCTGGATCTATTAATCTGTTCGTTTGGCGGTTGTGACTTCGGTTCTATGACTGCGTATCATGACTGTTTCAGTGGATCCAGTAGACAGATATCAGTATCATGAGATTTCGAATATTTATCAGCATATACCATGTATTGTAGCATTAATCTTTTCCGATTGCGCTATATGCTCTTATTTCTGCATAACTTTCCCCTGATGTTTTGCTTATTAACCTTGAAATAATTTATCATTGGTGTTTTCACACAGCTCTGAAAGCTGAACTCTTATTGGCTGTTAACTCTTTCAACCTGAATGTGGATTTAGTGCTGTCAAGGTCATTTCGAAATGTATATATTCATCATCACTGTCAACTCATTTTGACCAATGTTGAGACA